GCAAACACTTACAGAGCAGGAGGAACACACTAGTCTACTTTATATAAAGCACTGCAGTCTTTGATTTCCATTGTTCATTCAGAAGGCATATTTTCAGGAGACACATTTGCAAACAACCAAAAAAGCAAATAGACCTACTCAATATTGTACATTGCAGTACCATGAATTCAGATAAAGCAAAAAAAAACCAAAACAAAGAACCCCCCATAATACAGTAATAGAAAAAACACTATACTGTAAACAAAAAATCATGACAATTGTGCATACGTGGGCTCATGGATCCCGCCGTCTGTTGGGGTCTGGCCACAGGACCTCATCAACATCGCAAGCAATGTCTTCTCCCGCTGGGCACCGGGGAAAATATCCTCTTCCATGTCAAAACCATCCATGGATTGCTGTCACCTGAATGTCGCCGCAGGCCTGTTCCATTGCCTGCAGAAGAGGCATGCAGGCATGTAGTTGGCGGTCATATACACGCCATCTCCAAGCCGAAAAAAATTCCTCTATAGGGTTTAAAAATGGTGAGTAAGGGGGCAAGCATACCACTTCAAGTTGACTTTGGTTGGAGAACCAGGCCTGGACCAGAGCAGACCGATGGAAACTGACATTATCCCATATCACCACAAACCTGGGCTGATCTGGTCTGTTCTGTACAACTATATCATGGAGAGCATCTAGAAATGTGAGTATGTGTTGGCTATTGTATGGACCTAGTATTGCATGATGGTGCAGAAGCCCTCGAAGGCATATGGCGGCACATAATGTGATGTTTCCCCCGCGCTGCCCTGGGACGTGCACAATTGCCCTTTGGCCAATTACATTACGACCCCGTCGTCTTGTTTTGCTCAGGTCGAATCCAGCTTCATCAATGAAAATGTATTCATGAGGCTGTGCAGCTCCATCCATGGCCAAGATTCTCTGGAAAAAAGGGGAACATATCACTGTACTACAGTGCTACACATACAGCACCCTCACCCCATCACACAGGTACCTGTGTAGCTCTCAGAATGGATCCATGTGGTACTGATATGGTACATATTCAGCTGCTACTGGACTTCACCAATACTCTATTGTAAATGTAAGGGACAGTTACACGTACCCGTACATATTCAGCTTGAAGTCCTTTGACCCTGTCACTGTTCCTCTCGAATGGGACTCTGTAGAGCTGCTTCATGGTGATGCTGTGTTTACCCAAGATGCGTCTGATGGTGGTGATGCTCACATGGTCTATGTTGCTGAACACTCGCCTGTCTGCAAGTATTTTCCATCGTAGCTGGTGGAGACGGATGGCATTGTCTGCCCTCACTAGGTCCACAACAGCAAGTTCCTGCCGTTGTGTGAACAGGCGTTGGCATCCTCCCCCAGAAGGTCTTCGAGTCATTCTAGAGAAATACAACCACATATTGTCATCGGTTTGCTTATTTTTCTTACAGTACTTCACTGTATATACTGTATCATCCACTGTACAACACTGTACTTCAATATAAGTAATCATGGTATGTTTCACAGAAACTACCACTTTGGCTGCAAAAGGAGCATTAGCACCCTGCAATACCCTGTACACTTGATATGGTAACTGTAGAACAGTACTATGAAAACCATCTGAGTAGAGTAGAAGGCAGTGAGATGAAGACAGACCTGTTTTCTAGTCGGAATTTTCTTATTACAGATGCCACTGTGAAGCGGCTTAGATGTGGGTGGACTCTCTGCCCAGCTTCCCTCATAGTCAGGCCGTGGTTGATGACATGGTCCACCAAAGTTGCTCTTATATCATCAGAAATATGGGTCCGTGCATGGCCTCTTTGACCTCCTCCTCCTCTTCCTCTTGCTCTCCCTCCATCCATGCTTGCAAAGTTCTTGAATTGGCTAAACTGAGGGCTTTTTGTGGTTGGCTAATTTGTGTTCAGTTTTGCAAGTAAGTGCCTTCAGGTGTATATTTGAGTGGTTGCAATTACCCGATGTGTTTTGTATTTTGGATACACGTGTTTTCCAAATGGCACCCTGAAATTTCATTTTTGAACGAAGTGTCTTATGTATGAAATAGAGTGTAGTATGCAGGACCATGTGTGTTGCATAAAGGAGTAAGTGTGTTGCATAATTGCAACCAGAGTGCAAAGCAGCACTTTTGTTTAAGGTATGGGTACATGTGTTTGGGGTATGGTAACAAAAGCTTCAAGTTGTTACTTTAGTCTAAGCATGGGTTTATAGTGTTCAAGCAACGAGCAAAAACTGTAAGTTAGGCTGAACCCGTTGGCCAGCTTCCCTCAGGGTCATTCCATGGTTGAATACATGGTCCACTATTGTAGCTCTGATGTCATCAGTAATTCTATTTCTTACTCTTCTTACCCTTCCTCCTCCCCCTCCTCTTGCTCCTCCTTGTCCTCTTCCTCTAACTTCACCTCCTTGTCCTTGTTGTCCTCTTTGTCCTACTGCTTCACCTCCACGTCCTCTTCCTCGGCCTCCTCTAATTCTCACTCGTCTCACTCTTCCTGCTCCCTCCATTGTACTCCACACGGACAGCTTACCTGTAGCTTATTTATAGTGCTTAGGCTGATTGGAAAGTGAACTAATTATCTAAAACAGTTTTCACATGTGGCAGTGTGCCCGACAGTTGGCAAAATACTGTAAATAATAGCCATAAATGTGTATAGTTTTGTTAGGAGTGTGTTGATCATTTGGAAATTGAGTGTAAAGCAGTGAGTTGTGTTTACAGTTCTGCAGAAAGAGTGCTGTGCAGTGGATTGTAGCTACAGGTTTGCAAAGTGTGTGTTACAAAATGGCAAACTGAGTGCAAAGCAGTGTTTGTGCTTTTACTTTTGCAAACTCGGTGAGTGATTTTGGTATAAGTATTAATAGTTTTTGAAATTGTGCTATAAGAATCACAGTTAGGGTTTAAGCATTCAGAAAAAACTGTAACTGTACTAGTGATAGTTTCTCTTTGTCTTTTCTAACTGCCAGAATATATTAATATGTTAAGATTTGAAGGTTAAATCTGGTCCTAATTTATCAAAGTATTCACTATTTTGTATGGTTGGAACTAATATTATGCATTACTTCTGTGACTTTTCACAGTTGGGCTCTTTCTAGATTGCACATGCTTTCAGGACCTCTCTTTTAGTTTTTTTGTAACATAACATGAAATAAATATGACGTGAATTTTGTTGTCCTCTTACAGTTTTTACCGAATGCCTAAACACTAACTGTGAATCCTGTAGCACAATTTCTAAAACTAGTCAGACTTATAGCAAAACCACTCACTGAGTGTGCAAAACTAAAAGCACAAAAACTGCTTTGCACTCAGTTTGCAATTTTGTAACACACACTTTGCAAGACTGTAGGCACAATTCACTGCACAACACTCAATTTCCAAATTTCCAACACACTCCTAGCAAAAGTATACACATGTATGGCTATCATTAACACTAATTTGCCAACTGTCTGGCACACTTTCACATGTGAAAACTTTCTTAGATAATTCGTTCACTTTGCAATCAGCCTAAGCACTATAATACAGGTAAGCTGTGTGTGCTGAGTACAATGGTGGGAGCAGAAAGAGTGAGAAGTAGAGGAGGCCGAGGAAGAGGACGTGGAGGTGAAGAAGTAGGATGAAGAGGACGACAAGGACAAGGAGGAGCAAGAGGAAGACGAGGAGGGGGCAGAGGAAGCATGTTCACTGCAGACCACGTAACCCATATAGTCATTATGGCGATTGCAAATAATCCTATACTTGGAAATAAACACTTGTGTTTGTTTTGATGTGTTTGACTAAACACCAGTACTTGAAGTTTGGATCCCTCCATGCTTATGGATCTATGACAGAAGTATGAGCTCAAACTCACATAGCCTACCTTGTGCACAGGGAAGGCAAACGCCAGATGTGTTTTGTATTCATACCATCGGTGTGCAGTTGGCGCATTGTGTGCTTAGTAGATGATGGCTTGTGTGTACTGTTTGATACGGAAACACCATTTTTACGAAGGTGTGAAGAGTTAATCTAGCTGTGTTTGCTTTTGCAAGAGAACTACAATGTTTTGATGATTGGGTGACAGGTTTTCTTATTTGTGTGAAGAGTTTTGCAAAATTAGCCAATAGTTACAAAAAATGTGCTTAAGCAATCAGAAAAAACTGTAAGAATCAGAATCAGAATCAGAATCAGAATGGGTTTATTGCCAGATGTTGAGGTTTACAACATTAGGAAATTGCTGCGGTGCTTCAGTGCAGACAATAAGAATTAAAGTGCTATGTAGAAAGAAAGATATGTGCATGAGATATACATGTGATATATACATGAGAATAAGAATTGTGAGTGCTACGTAGAAAGATATATACATGAGTGCAGGTGGTGATCAGTGCCAAACATATATACAAGAGAGTAAGAATTATGAGTGCTGCGTAGAAAGATATATACATGAGTGCAGGTGGTGATCAGTGCCAGACATGAAATGATGCAGTGACACAGCGTAGGGTCATGTGTTAGTGGCGGGTACAGTCATGTGGTTATTGTTCATGTGTCCAACAGCAGAGGGGAAGAAACTGTTCTTGTGGCGAGAGGTTCTGGTGCGAATGGACCGGAGCCTCCTGCCTGAGGGGAGCAGGTCAAACAGACTGTGTCCAAGTTAACATATCTTCCCAAAAGATTCCTGATGCATTTAAAAGCATGGTTTGGAGTTGTTTTGATCATACACACAAATGCAGAGATTTTCAAAGGTTAAAGTTGTAAGTGTTGTCATGTGTGATTCATGTTTATGTTTAAAGTTATTTTCTTCATCCGTGAACAATGATTTTCACTCGGTTATGACATGAATATAAACCAGCAGAATTACTTGGAGAGTGAAAGTAAATTGATGCAAATCGGTTGTGCTTTGAAGTCACATTTATAAACACATTTTTTGGATCCACCATCTATTTTTTTTTTGCTTCTGTTACGCTTTTCTGCACACACTCTCACCTCTGACAACATCACAAGCTCGGATGCACTGTCTTGTGTTTTTGTCCAACAGGTTGGGGCAGTCAGAGCTCTAAAGTCCAGATCCATCATAACACATGGCTTCATTTCCCTGGGCACAACATGAGGTGGATCCTCACCTTCTTGCTGCTATTAGTCCATGTCTGTGAGTTTTCAGAAGGCATCGTCTGCAACATGTGAGACCTCAGAATGTTTTTTTTAATCAAACATAAGCAAATAAAAAGAAGCTTTTTTTGTTTTTTAGTTGTCTTTAGTTAAATAAATGGTTTGCATGTTAATTATTATATATTTTGTGTTTGCCTCTTACTGTAGGGTGATGGGTACCAACCACCTCCATCTCTTCATGCCAGCATTCATGGGTTTTGTAGCAGCCACAACATCAGTCGTTTACTACCACAACATAGAAACATCCAACTTTCCCAAACTGCTGCTTGGTAAGACAGTGAGGGGCGCTTAATATGACCCATTTTGTTTATTTGACCAAATAAACAGCCAAGCAATTCTGTTTAGTCAATATAAAAGAGGATAATTAAGATTAGCACCCCTTCCTTAATTAAAACAGAAAAAACAAAAATATAAACCAATTAACTTGGTTTCAAATTATCAACCTTCCCTTTGGAATTTTAACAAATAATTATAATCATAAAACAAAATGCAGGAGGTTGAGTGAGGAGTATCTATCAAAAAACGGACGCTCATTAGATGCAAGGATGTTTCAACAACAATGGCAGGTTAGCATGTGGATGTTTTGCAGACATTTCATGTGAAATTTGCTAATCCTAAGAATATAGACGTGCCTCGCTAGAGTTCATCCACTTTCTCAGCATTTCCTGAGATTATTTCCTCTGTTTGCTAGGTGGTATATACTGAATCTATAAGCAGGTACTTCTCTTGAAGGCTTGTGAAAGCAATATCAACACTAGCTCCATCCATTATCTCCATCCAGATGAGTGTTTTAGCTTAGGTTCATGTATAATCTACAAACATCTGCCACACTGGCAATAAAGTGGACTATTAAGCAGCACCTATTGCTGACAAGTTAAAGATCAAAAGGTTTATTGGGTAATGACAAGCCAATAGGGAAGGAGATATCAGTCACAGTGATTCTTGGGGACAGTTCAGGTTACGCCAAAGAGAGGTGGTCCACAGAACTGTTTAAGAGGGTTTTGCTCAGAGTGTGTGTGGTAGGTTTGGGCAAGATACTTGGAAAGGGGCCATTTGTCTGTTTTGCACCATCGAATAGAGTTGTTGCATGGTGTGACGGCCAAAGGGTGGGAATCCGAGACTTCACCTGGACTCAGAGAGAGTGGCATGTGAATTGACCATAAAAACTGTGAATGTGCATCCTGGTGTAAACAGAAAGCAAAGGCATGCCCAACTAGGAATGAATGGTTGATGTTTTCATGGTTTCCAAGAATCTTATTTTCTGCATAGTCAACACTCAAAATAGACTTTTAATATGTGCTCCCTGGGAGGAGTTCCAGAAGGTCCGTTTCAATGACCTAAAGTTGTTTTTGTGTGGACAAGAGGCCAAAATACAAAGAAAAATTCAGCTTTTTAGGGTACTGTATGATCTTCCAAAGCACAAATATGATAGCAGTGATGCGGCATCTGTGACTGTCATGCTGCTTTTTGTCTCTTTTCTCAAAGTCCTTTTCATCTACTGGGTGCTGGCATTCATCACAAAGTCCATAAAGTTGTGGAAATTTGCTGAGGACAAAGGTGCAGCACAGTATCTCAGGTTGTACATCACTGCACTGTTAGTGATCCTGTATGGACTTCTGATGGCCGTGGAGATCAACGTCATCAGAGTGAGGGTGAGGAAATACATTTCACGCTACGTCGGTTTAGTTCAAGGAGCTTTGTTTCTTGTAGATTGCAATCATCCTGGCATCCCAAAATAGTTTTGTTTTTCTTGTTTTTTCCTGTGTAGTTAATTTTGTTAATTTTGTCTTTGTGTCTTCTAGAAATATGTATTCTTTGCGAACCCTCAGAAAGTTAAACCACCAGAAGATTTACAGGATTTGGGGGTTCGTTTTCTGCAGCCTTTTGTCAACCTGCTGTCAAAGGTAGATTTTCAGAACCATTATTAACACAAAAAGGTTAAAATGCAAATTCTAAAGTATATAATTAAAATAATCTGTCAGTGCGCCACACGGCAGCTGTAGCTACAATGTAGCTTGCCATCACTAGTGTGTGAATGGGTGGATGACTGAACGTGTAAAGCGCTTTGGAGTCTTTATGGACTATGTAAAGCGCTATACAAATACAGGCCATTTACCATTTACCATTTTAATATTTAGACCACAAGTACTAAAAACCAAGAGAAGGAACTTATTTTGTGTTTTAATGCCTCGTAACCCGTGTGGTGTCCTCGGGTCAAAAATGGTCCCTAGGTGAATGGCAAACAAGTATATGGGAATCCCGAGGACACCACACGGTCAATATTGAGTGTGGCAAGTTTTTACTGGAACGCAACTTGGCAGCACAGCACAGAAAATTCTTGGCTCGTTTTTTAGGCGACATATTGGTGGATGAATCCTCTCATCATCGGAGCCCATAAGAGGCCTATAGAGCTGAAGAAGATAGGCAAGCTGCCCATCGCCATGAGAGCCCTCACCAACTACCTGCGGCTTAAAGACGCCTATGAGGATCAGAGGGTGAGCACATGGAAGCCGTAAAATAATTTAATTTCACTGCAGTGATTTCCAGTGGTTGTTCTAAATTAAAATATACAGATCTAATTAATTTCTCTGCTTTTTCCTTCTATCCTCCGCCCTCACAGACACCTGAGGACCCAGATAGGTCTCCATCGATCTGGCGCTCCATGTATCGAGCATTTGGCCGTCCCATCCTGCTCAGCAGCACCTTCCGCTACTTGGCAGATCTGCTGGGCTTTGCTGGGCCCCTCTGCATCTCTAGGATCGTTCAGCAGCTAAATTCTGAAAAAGATGTTCCAGAAGGCAACACAACGGTGAGTGTTTAAGATGTATGACCTTTAAGAAAAGACGCCTTAGTACTGTTTACACAAGGCCAGCAGATTTTTTCTACACAAACACATTTGTTTATGGACTTCTGTATAACGGAGGGTTCAACCTTTCTTTTTTCCAAGCTTTTTTCCATCATCACTGGTTGCATAATTACAGTTCATTATGGAATATTACGGCGTGTTACGAAGTCTGTTTTTTTATTGTATAGTGTGTTTTATATGACTGGTTCGGACTCTAGAGTCATTTAAATTTTGGGTTTCTTCGTGTTTTATTTTTTAATTTCAGTTAGATTTCCTGCCTTTGCTCTTTTTCCCGCCGTGTCATTTCCACATAGTGTTCAGTTAGCAAATCAGCCTCCTGTGTGGACTTAATACTTGTAACTAGAGATGGCACGATACCACTTTTTTATGTCCGATACCGATATCATAAATTTGGATATCTGCCGATACCGATATGAATCTGATATAGTGTTTTTTAATCAACAAAACTGTTTTTTTTTTAAAATATCTTGCTGCATTTTGTATAAGTTCATACTCAAGTTTAAAACAACAACTACACTAAAGCTATTCTGTTATACCTGTATGCAAAAAAAATATATTTCATAGTTCAGCAATACTGATCAATCTAATAAACTCAAACCTACACCATCCTCCCTATTCTGGTATTTTAAAGAGTACTTAGCATAAATATTAAGCAACCTAACTAATAGGGTTCCAACTCCCAGCAACAACAAAAATAAATAAATAAAAAATAGGGAACCACCCCTCACGCTCCACCTCATGATGCTTAATCGACGTAATCAACCTTAATTTGATGCAGTGTGAAAAAAATGCACAGAAATCAATTATTTTTCAAGAAATATTAAATAGATTCAACATCTTTCTTCAACAGAATTGCAGACTGCACAGATGGTACCTTCCCAAAGGAAAAAGTACTATAGCTTACTAGGGTATATATATTAGACTTAATAGTTACTATATACAGTAATTGACTTCTATTCATTTTACATCAAATTAAAACTTTGGGTGTCAGATAATTATTTATTAAAAGCTAGACATTTTAAATGAGAATAAGAAAGAAAAGTATGTCTTTGTGCCCCCTTTTCCCAGTTAATGCCCTATCGGCCCCCCTGGCTAAACTTTGCTAGATCCGCCCCTGCACAGTTACCAGCGTCAGCTACTTAGAAAAAGATCCTCGAGTAGAAAGTAATATTAAATAAATTCTAACAACAGCTGATCAAGCTTAAACGTGCTGCTGTTGTTCAGCCGCTGGTTTCCTCTGTCTGGTGCAAAGTGGGCCAAAAGCAAACTAGAGACACGGACTGGCGACAGAAAAGCCGATCAGCTGATCGTTAAGCAGTTTCATGATTGAAGTAGCAGCCGGAGAGCGAGAGGCAGTCGCTCCATATATCGCTTGTTAAGCTTAACGCAGGAATGCTTTACAAACATTTAGAGATGGACTTACACACTTGCTTTACTTCTCTCGGGAAAACTTTGTCGGAGATGAAATGCTGGGTTGCTAGCGAAGCTCCACATGCTATCCAGACCACCACAGGTCCCGCATGCCACAGCCGCTCTATCACGTGATGCATACTGCTCCGACGTGCTAACGTTCTGAGGTGAGTTACGGCGTGTTGCAAGTTTTGTGAGGTGCTTTCGTGATATTTAATGGATCGGATTACATTTTTTTATTTTTCTCCGATATCCGATCCAGTAATTTAGGTCAGTATCGGACCGATACGTAATATCGGATCGGTCCATCTCTACTTGTAACCAAGCTTTCTTGTGTTCTTGGTGTTTTTTTTGTTTTCCTTTATGGTCCTAGTTGATTTCCTCATACATAATGCTTTGGATGTTTGGTTGTTCACTTTTTTGTGAATTTTTTCTTAGCTGTGAATTTTTTGCCGACTGCTTCTTGCATTTGGGTCCTCTTTCCTTTCAGAGGTGTATTTGTTTAAAAATGACCCATTCTGCTCATTTCCAGCTCTGCATTCTTGTTCTTGGACGTTTCATGATTCACAGCTCAGCATAAACATCATTTTTCTTATACTAGGTTTTGGTGCTAACATGTCAGAGAGCTGAGTGATTAAGATTACCTCATTAGGAATATACACCCTCTCTGACATCATACATTTCTAAGAGTAGAAAAAACAGACTATTAAGCTTAGAGAGTCACGCCTGAGCTTTAGGCTCTCAGGGATTGTTTATAACATAGTTCATGTAACATAATACTAACCCTAATATTTGTTATTTAAAAAAATATAAGAATTAAGAATTTAACAATATAAAAACATCATAAAGTAAGAAAAAGCAGACCTCCAGTATATATAGTATGTTTTAAGAGATGAAGACGTAAAGAGTTTAATGCCATTCGTTTTCCCTTCTGAGAAATCATCCTGGAAACCTGAACCTTTACTCAGGCATAGCTGATGTCTCCAACACCATCAACAAGACCAAAGCCTTGTTAAGTGTTTATATAAGATCATTATATTAGTGGTTAAGGGCAGATCAGTGAAACATCATGGGTCATTAACACACTATAACTGTTGGGTGGTCCAGTCAGCCAAAGAGTGACTCACTCTAAGCACGACGTCAACAAGGCGTTGGTCACAGTCGCCACATCGTCAACAGTTCGTGTGCGACGCCGTGTCTGACGTGATGATGATTAAGACAAAGTTAAAATGACATCACACACACTTTACGTGGAACAGACCTTGTGGATGTAACTTTAACCAGAGCAGCTTCATGCCTGACTCCTAGCATGAAACCAAACCTGCGTTTCACCTTAACTTTTAATATTTTTCCAAATGTTTTCTCATTTTTTATCTTGAAATCCAAAGTATTTTTCCTCACAAATAAATGAGCACAAAAAACGCTTCCAGGACGTTGTCAGCAATAAAGGGTCTTCTGATGTCTGGAAGTTATATTCCACTGAATTCCATATTTGCGTTTTTAGATATTAATTTAAATTCAAGCAGATGATGCTGATTAGATTCAGTCACTAAGTTGCACCTTTTTATAGTAACTTCATACAGTTTCGGGGTTTGGAAATCAGCCATGAAGGACACATGACATCAGGTCATTTGCATAAATCCACAGAGAGCAGAAAATCTCCTCACGTACCAATTCTTATTTTAACCTCTAGAGGCAGGGCCCAGAGGGGCTTACAATGAAGTGACATGAATGCTTAAGTTATGTGAAGTTTTTGTGTTACAAAAGTGGATTTTTTAATGTGGCTAAATCAGCATAGTAACTGATGCTGAACACATAACCAGGTCAGGAGCAGGTTATGTTCAGAATTTGGTTTAAAATTAACAGGAAGCACCACATTTTCATGAATTCTTTTATTTACGATACATTTTATCTGCATTTATTTGCAACTTGCAACAAGCTGTACTTCAGTAAACCCACCAAATGAAGCCTTTCTGTTAACACAGTGCACACTGTGTGTTAACACAGTTAAAAACGGGTGTATTGATGTAGAATCGAGTGTTCCACTTAAGGCTTTTATTTTGAAATGATACTTTATGCGGCATGGCCTTCACACAGTTAAAGTGACAGTGAGTGGGAGGCTGTGGAAAGGCCAGACTAGAATTGGGCTTTAGTTCAGTTGTCTCCCCTCAGTCTTTGTTAACTTGTTGTTTTATTCTTGAGTCTGAATTGCTCATTAACTTTTTCGATTTTTGTTATTTTCCTACAACCTCATCGCAGCAAATTCTATTACTAATTTTCAGAATTGCTTCTCATTATAAGATAAGATAAGATAAGATAAGATAAGATAAGATAGAACTTTATTAATCCCTCGGGTGGGTTCCCCTGGGAAATTCGACTTCCAAAAAAAGCACAGCAACGACCGAAGTTACAGTTACAGAACTGTTATATATATATATATATATATATATATATATATATATATATATATATAATATATATATATATATATATATATATATATATGTATGTATATATATATATACATATATATATATATATATATATATATATATGTATGTATATATATATATATATATATATATATACATATATACACACACACACACACACACACACACATATATATATATATATAATACAGAGACAAATATAAATAAAATATACAAAGGGATAAATAGAATAAATAGGAATAAAAATAAAAATACAAGTGAATTGCACATTTCAAGTATTGAGTCTATTGCACTGTTGACTATTTACAAAAAGTATTGCACAAGGTATTGTACAGTGAGGTGAAGAGGCACTACAGCTTAGTTGTTCCCCCCTCCTTTGTCCTCCTGTCTCCCCTCCCTCTCCCCTCCAGAGAGGAGTTAAACAGTTTGATGGCGTGTGGGACAAAGGAGTTTTTAAGTCTGTTAGTTCTTGTCTTGGGGAGAAGCAACCTGTCACTGAACAGACTCTTCTGATTGTTTATGGCCGTGTGCAGAGGATGCCCAGCATTGTTCATAATGTCCATCAGTTTCTTTAGTGTCCTTTTCTTTTCCTTTTCTTTTCTTATGGACTTTGTTATACTTGTATTAAGGTACTGAATGAAAATGTTCCTAGAATGCAGTTTTGATAATTCAAGTAAACCAAAAATTGTTCTTAAAATGGCTTTAAAAAAATTAAGCTAATCCATTTGGATGCATAGTAACAGTATATCTGGCTTCCTGTCTGATATCTTAGCATAGACCAGCATGACTCATAATTAGCTCGACCAAACCTGCAGCTCATACACAACATTACAAAACAATATAAATATCTCCCTACAATAAAAAGGGCAGAGCAGACAGAGATCAAGCAGACTGCTCACAGACAGCATTTCTGGCAACCAAATATACACCAGCAGAAGTGATCATAGGCATCAACTCCTCTTAAATCCATGCCAACCTCTCCAAAGGTCATAAAGCAGTCAGGGCTTGTAGGAGAGGCAGAACAGATGCTTTTGTAATGGCAGCGTATTTTCACACAGTCCACTTGGCTGGATGCTGGTATAGTAGATGTTAAGCTGTTGTCAGGTCTGTGCCTGCTGGTTAAAGTGGGTATAATGGGCAATTGAGATAGAGAGCAGAGCATGGCTGCATTTCTGAGTGACATGGAAAATTCCCCACTCACCTCACACTCTCTGCCTCAGTTTAACGTACACAGAGAGACTGCTGAGCGTCACTCTGGGATTTTTGAAGCAACAATTCATGTGTAATTTTTTCAATCCAGATTGATTTATCAGTGTATAAACAATTTTTTTTTACTGCGCTAGAAATGGGATACATGGATAAAATTCTAATGTGTCTTTGTTTAAACGAATTCAGAAATGTAGAAACTAATTAATAAAATATTAGAATAAAATATTCTGTCTCTTTTTTGCCACAAATATAAATATTGTATAAAATTGCTGTATTTGAAAATGCCAACCATGCTTTCTGGTTTAAAACCCTGGCTACATGGGGCTCATGGACAAAGCACTGAGAATCACCATGAATGGCACAGCCATCATTTGCTTGGATACCAGCTGAGGGATAACAATCAGTCTGGATCATAATTTACTTTCATCTTATTATCCCCTTAGAGTTGGAGGTCACTGCAAATCAATAGAAAGTAATTCTGAGTGATCGCCTTTATCCTATGATTACGTAAATGGGAGTAGTTCCTCTCCAGGTGACAGAGGCTCTATCCATGAGTGGTTTCATGAAAATGAATCATGGTTTAGTCTCGACACTCACCAGAGCTCAACTTAAATGAACACTGATGGACTTTGCATCGATGTTTCAGACTTTGCTAAAATAGCAAGCGTTCCTTACTTTCTAAGAGCTCCAGAGACTTGGACAATCATCTCTTTTTCCACAAAGCCCATAGACTATATGTAAATGGATTTAGCCACTATGGTGTAATTTGGGGGGGGATTTCCCCACTTCTGGTCTGCATGCCCCTCCCTCAGCTAGAGCTAAGAGCCAATCCATAGCACAAGAGACAATAAATCTGTTTCTGGCTTTCACTTTTGGGACTTGCGATCCCAGGACAGTAAAGATGACACTGCTTATGAGAGAAAGACCCCAATCCTGTTCCAATTCAACGTCTTATTTTTACCACTGCTGCTGCAGAGTGAAAACCGATTAAATGAAAGAAAAATGAAGTAGAATCTTAACATCAGATTTTACAGAAGATTCTCAATAAGTCCTAGAAATACTCTTTCTTTAGCTGATCATCTAGATAATTTCCTAATAATTATATCAATAATAATAATTTTATTATTATTAAACTGAAAATGTTCTGCAGTTGCATTTTTTATTTACACTGAATGATAAAGAACCTATTTTTGAAACACACTTATTTACATTGTTACTGATGAACGTCCAGAATATCCGTCCAAGGTTGAATTGAAAAACATCTGTATCTGAGAGAATGTTTTCACATATTTTCTAGCAAATTTTGGTTTGTGATTGAAATAGGATATGCTCTTGTTAATGCACCAGCTACTATGGTTTGTGGAACAGACAACAGACTGTCATCGAATGAGAAATCAGTTTGACCTCTGATCAGGTTACAAAGAAGAATCTTATTTTTGTACCTGTTGTCTGCTTGTGTTTGTAGGTCACCCATTTCGAGAACTACCATATGTCTTCCCATGAGCTGCTGCAGAACAGCTCCATCCTGGCTGTTCTTCTCTTCTTGGCTTTAATCCTGCAGAGAACCTTCCTTCAGGCCTCGTACTATGTCACCATTGAAACAGGCATTAACATGCGGGGAGCTCTGCTGGTGAGTGAAGCATCGTGGAAAATGAAAATTCGGACCGGTGTTTCAACACTCGGGTGTCACTTTGGAAAGCTCATCGTGAATGATTTCTATGATGCTTCAGAGTTTTATCAGCTCACACAGCCATTATCTGTCACCTCATGTGACACCAGGCTCTTTTAATTGCTGATGTAAGCCCCAGCTTAATAGCCACATAGAGGTTTCATTGGACACCTGTTCTGAAGTGTAACAACAGTCCGGTAGATTTCAGCTGGCAGTCAGTGTTGAACAGAAACATGGAGGAGGGTTAAAAATTTCCAGGGCTGATGTAAATCGATGATGTGAAGGCATTTAGTTAACATTTCTATTTAATTCAGTTATGTAAGTGATGGGTTTATTTATAGGAGTCCCTCAGTGGGAAAAGTCTTTGGCATTCTGCATAGTGCTGACACTGTCCATTAACCTATTAAAACTTAAAGCTAAAACATTGCTTTTTTTACAAATGTATTTAAAATGCTAAATTCTAAAAGAACGTTCTATGTTATAGGTATCTCTTTTCACATGTATTTTTGGCATTTAGTCTTTATCAAGACAGGCTTGTGCACAGCGGAAGAAGCAGCAAAGTTGCTTTAAATAAGCTAAAATTACTGATAAGTGGTAGTGGTAAAAACTCCCATGGTTAATGTAATTAGATGTTATCCAAATATTTAGTAGGCATTTCTGCATAATTCAGTTATGGCAGTTATAAATATATAGATTCCATTAATGGGATATAGAGTGTCTGGCTCTCCATTAAAACCCAGAATAATACTGCTAGTAATGAATATATTCATGAAAACCACTGTGCCATGAGCTGGAGTCAGCTCAGCAGCAGACGGCAGACAATATTTTATTTCACTTAAACTCTAAGATAGGTACTAAACATCTAACCATTGTTTATTGAGGAACCAGATGGAATGTCCCAGTTCAAAGTGCTGGCCCTGACTCAACTATTTCAGTCAAAAAAAGGTTGGTATTGCCATCTGGATTAATTTCTTTTGTGATTTGGTTCTGGGACCAGTGTGGGACCCCACACTCAATAAACACAGACATCAGGTGGGTCAGGTGGGTTCCACAGCAGCTTGCAAATGTTCAGCGACCTTTTAAAACAAGGTGACTGCCTTTAAAAGGTTGGCATTATAGATGAACTAATATGTCTATCTATCCATCATCTTAAACTTTCCTTCATCTGTCTTATTATCTGTCTTGTCTAGGCAATGATCTACAACAAAATCCTGCGCCTATCCACCTCCAACATGTCAATGGGGGAAATGACGTTGGGGCAGATCAACAACCTGGTTGCTATAGAAACCAACCAGCTCATGTGGTTCCTCTTCCTCTGCCCCAACCTGTGGGCCATGCCCGTGCAGGTAAGATAAGCCATATTCTTAAACATATTTGGATATGTTTTAATCCTATCAAAATTTTTTCAAGTCAGGTCTTTTTGTTTCTTTGCAGATTGTGATGGGAATAATTCTGCTCCGTCATTTTATGGGCTCGAGTGCCTTGGTAGGAGCGGCTGTCATAGTTCTGCTGGCTCCGGTCCAGTACCTTATAGCTACAAAGCTGGCAGACACGCAGAAAATCACACTGGTAAAGAAGATATTTATAAATATAAAATAAATGTTTTCTCAGTGTAGAAAACAAAATTTCCTGCGTAATTCTGAACAAAAATCTTCTTTGAATGTCTTATTTGCTATTTCAGGAACACAGTACAGATCGTGTTAAAAAGACCACTGAGATCCTAAAGGGCATAAAGTTGCTGAAGCTGTACGCCTGGGAGAACATCTTCTGTGACAGTGTGGAGGAGACCAGAGGCAAAGAGCTCACCAGCCTCAGGACCTTCGCCTTCTACACATCCATGTCCAGTAAGATGAAAATCAGTAGCAGGAGTTTTAAGTATGTGAGCAGAATGTCTGCAGACCAGCAGAAATGGAATTTGTTTGGCATGTACAGAATGAATCTTGTTTGAAATGCCACACATATATTCAGCGATGGTTAGCATAAATCATTTTTCTAGGAAATTATTTCCACAGTACAACTTAACAAACAGTTAAATTACAGCATTAATTACTGCACTTGGTTTTCAGGTGATTATATTTAATTTATACATTCTTCCCTTAGGCAGTATCCTTCAAAGCAATAGCATAAATTTTCACTGCTATGCAGATGGTATCCAGCTTTATCTATCCATGAAGCCAGATAACACGCACCAATTAGTTAAACTGCAGTAGTGGCTTAAAGATATTAAAACCTGGATGACCTCTTTTTATGAATTCAGATAAAACTGAGGTTATTGTACTCGGCCCTAAACATCTCACAAACATGGTGTCTAACCAGATGCTTACTCTGAATGGCATTACCTTGGCCTCCAGTAACACTGAGGAATCTTGGAGTCATCTTTGACCAGGATATGTCCTACAGTGTGCATATTAAACATATGTAACACTTAATATGAAACACTGATTTCTTAAATTTACACAATATCCTAAAATTGGAAATATCCTGTCTCAGAGTGATGCTGAAAAACTAGTTCATCCATTTATTAATTCTGCACTGAGTGTTTCTTCTTCATTCCCCTTTTTTGCTCACAATGTGTTTACACAAAACTTTGCATTTAATTATTAGCTATTATTAAACTCTAGATCTCTTCCACAGTGTCCTGTCTCCCACCCTCACCCCCAAAGATTTTCTCTGTATTATTGTAGGGTCTTTACACAATATAAAGGGCCTCAGGAACCTCTTTTTGTGATATAAATGAAACTGAATAATTGTTACTGTTATACAGTATTTGATTATAGAGAAGGCTCTTGTCTAGCCCACATTCATAAGTGCTGTTTTTGAATAATGGTTAAAACAATGCAACATTTGTTTTTCAAAGAATAATTTTTTTAAAAGGGACTTAAAGTATGTTATAAAGCTTGTATTGTTACCTAAATCAGCTAAGTTACTATCCTACCAATAAAACCTGTTCCTTTTTTTTGTGCAGTTTTCATGAATGCTGCTATTCCCATTGCTGCGGTTCTAGCCGTAAGTCAGTTTTATTACAATCTGTAAAAGAATTTGACTCTGCTTTAAATGTTCTACTTGCTTATTTCTTAAGCTATAATTCAACAGCATAAGGAAGAGATGTTAAACTTGTCTTTTGTTGTTTTTTTGCAGACATTTGTGACGTATCACATCCTCAATAAAGGAGGCCCCAGTCCTTCTCAGGCCTTTGCAGCTCTGTCACTGTTTCACATCCTGGTCACCCCGCTCTTCCTGCTTTCCACTGTTGTCAGATTTGCTGTGAAGGCTCTGGTTAGGTGAGTGTTTAGATTTATTTGTATTGTAAAAGGTTGTGGACAGCTGGTTGGCATGCTTTGACTGAAGGAGAGGGGATGTGGACATGACTAAACATGGAGTACAAACTGGACATGGCTTCAGCGGCAAATCTAATTAAAGGAACGTCAAGGAAACCCAACAACAGTGACGAGAAACTCTAAACTCCTGAGAGATTACCGGTATTGGAATCATCACAGTGTCACTGTTAATAGGCTGTGTGTGTGTGTGTGTGTGTGTGTGTGTGTGTGTGTGTGTGTGTGTGTGTTCTTACAGTGTTCAGAAGCTTGGTGAGTTTCTACAGAGTGATGAAATTGGAGACGACAGCTGGAGAAATGGTGACATATCTGTTTCCTTCGAAGCTGGAAAGAAACCCATGGGGATGGTGAGTTACGATACCAGATCAATAAAAAAGACCAAGGAAAAGTGCAAAAGTAACAGTTTGTATTTTTGACTGCTACACCTCTGAGCCTGTTTGGGGTATTTGAACATTTCACCACTCAGTGAAATACAGGCCTAATCGTGTGGCTGTCTGAGTCTTTAGTCGCTTAGTGTCTGCTCTGCAGTGGGATTATCACTGTTTGTGTTCAAATGGACAGTCAGACCACAAAGCTGAGTGACTCACATGATTCATTAGAGCTGTAATGGTTTTCAGATAAGATTGTAAAAGGAAATTTAAAAAACAGCATACCCATTTATGACATATTTTTTCGACTCATTTTATTCTCACTCAAAATCAGCTAAAATTAGACAACATAGAAAAATAAAACCCCGTAACAGTAATACCGGATTTTGTTTTCATCTCCATTATCATTTTATCGCCTCTACTTAATGTTAAAAACACATTTTTTAGACATTCTTTAGCAACTAAACTTCTTATGTGTGGAAACTAAGCAGCAGTGTTTACTAAATGTAAGACCAAAGTGGAGATATTTGGCCATAAACGTAGCATGTCAGCACAAACGCCTCATACCAACTGTCTGCACGATGGTGGAGAGATTATGATTTGGTATTGTTTTCTAACCACAGCACCTGGGCACCTTGCAGTCACTGAGTACATCATGATCTCCTCTGCACACCAAAATATTCTAGAGTGTGATGTGAGGGCATTTGCCTGACAACTAAAGCTTGACCCACAGAAATTGACTGTTACCTGCTTCCTAGTATCTCCAATGACATCAATCACATGCCCTTTTCTAGCTGGTCCATAATCCTGGGTTATGTAGCCAATATGGAGATCTTTGAGAGTGAAAACTGTGACTTTTATGGATACAGCATCCTGGTACTTGGAGTACACTCACATACTGTAGCCTGACTACATCTTCTTGATGAACGTGTGAATACTTTTACTTTTGTGTGGAGATTTTGGTTGTGGAACTTCACGTGCAATTTAGAAACATTGATGAACTTTGTTTTTGTATCTGGATCATATAATAATAATGAGGACTGAGTCCATTGGGGCAACGTTTTCTGCTTCCAGAGGAAGTACAGCAGATGCAGAAAAGTCTTATGTTTATTATCAAATGCTCACTCCTTTCTCTCCCTTTTTCTTTCGGTTGTCCCTCTCAAGACCAAAGCCATCAACAGGAAGCAGCCAATGCGCTACCAAATGGACAACTATGAGCAGCCAACCAGGCGACAGATGAGACCCTCAGAGACAGAGGATGTGGCTGTAAAGGTCAGGCTCAAAGTTTATGTGTTAGGGGAAAGTTTACAGGGGTGTAAGTTAGATACAGGCTATGATCACATGTAAAGTGCAACACATGGACCCACGTCTACCCATTTATCAATGAACTTTTTGGTTTTTTGGCAGCTTTAGAGGAACTGGCTGTGGTTTAATTTGTAGTAATGGACACCTCTGACTTTCCAGAGCTGTAGATGTGGGATAAAGAAAGTAGATGATGGGACTGGAAAGACATCATTAGTATCGGAGCAGAAACCTTTGTCTTGATATCTAACCCACTGGTGTCTTGAAGGGTTTTCAGCATGTGACACTAAGAGTGGGGGTTATGAGCAACACATTTAGATGCAATGAACTCAGTTGTCCAGACTGACAGTTCCCTCTTAAAGGTAAATAGTCTTTTGAGGATGGTTATGCTTAGATGCAGAGGAAAGGTTCCTGTTTTGATGGGAATAAAGAGAGCGGAAACTCGTTCAGCCATGTTATCGGCTGCCTGTTCAAGGCAGGTGCAGGATTTCCCTGACAAACACACCTGGAGAGTGGACAGCAGACACGATAAAAGCACCTTTTCGAGAAGAAGCATCAGATGGATAAGCACAGAAGGGCTGCGTGCTGTTGCTGCCACTTATCTCACTTTTATGAGCAGCTGTTTCATATCTTTATTGTTTATGCGTCCATGGGTTTTTGCCTGCAATCATACATGCGACATGCGTGTGTGCACATACTCTCACTCCTCTCAGGAAGTGCAGGATTCACATGAGAATTTGTTGTCCCTTAAAGGGCCTTGTGGATGTGTCCAAGGTTTTCTCAGCCCCTCTGTGAAGACTCCTCTTCCTGTCCCATCCCTGTGGAATGATGCTATTCCCCAGATGGCAGACCCCCAATTAGAGTGGTAGCTTTTCCATGCTTGACACAGACCTTGTTGACTTATCAGTGTAAAACTTGTTTGTTATGCATTACACACACCCACATATACAAGGTTATGGCCATTTAAAGGAGGCCTTTGCTTTTCCTTTTTCTATCAGATATGTATTTTGGTGGATGCTCATGTTAAACATGGCCAACCAACAGGCCATCCAAACTCCACACAGAAGGGTTTCTGTGTGGAGATCCAGATCCAGGAAAATCTGGACACAATGCAGATATAGCATTAATGTTAATGTAGTTCCCCTAAAATTCTGAGAATAGAGGAAATTGAAGCTTTTGTCTTCATCATACAGGCTTTAAATCAGGTTCATAAAATGTTTAACTCGGCTTCACAGGCTTGAGAAAGCTGCAGAGAAATACACCAGGGTTCATCTTGTTTTTTATATTTCTTATCTGTCAGTCTTTTGTTTTGTTCATTGTCATATTTACATATCACCAGGCCCATTTCCTGCAGCTGCACATTTTCTATTAAATATTTTGACTACATTTATCTGCTCTCAGCAAAATCTCATCTTTTTATTTTCACTCCCCTTTTTGCACATCTTCTCTCCCTGTCCTTTCTCCTTCCTCCCTTGTCAAATTGTTGATAGTATCTTAACTTGCTTTCCATTTTTATATACCTCATCCTGCTTTTTGTAATCTTGGTTGTTTACTTTTGCTCAGGAGCATGGACATACATCTGAGATTTCCCATGTGTGTTTTGGTGGTCATGCATGAACAGCCTGCTCAATTGAGGTGTATTTGTTTCTTAGTCACTCAGTGTAAAACAATGTCTAAATATTATAATCTTTATTTTTGGTGCTATAATCTTTTAGAAGAGATCTTTCATCATCTTATGATGCTCTTATATTCTTGATTCCTTTGGGATCGGGTCATTGGGAAAAGGAAGCTTTGAAGAAAGTTTGCGTTTCAGGGGGTGTCCCTGCATAAAATAATAAAAATAAATACATGCAACAGATGGGAGGAATGTAAACAAACTCCATGCATGAAGGGATATAGACGAGGGATTAGATACACAAGTCTGCTACGTGCTGATCGGCGGGTTTCTGGACACAAATAATGAAGCTTTCAAAAAGAAATTTCATTGATAGTGGAGCTTAAATTTAAGACTTCTTCCATTTGATCTTGCTTTAATGCCACGTCGTGAAGAAACAATGAGCGGAGGGTCATGATCCTTTATTCCATCCCTCTTCAGTCTAAATTTCCAGTGAACATGTGTGTTTCAATCAGCTGACTGATTTTCATTGTTTCCATTTCATCAAAGGTGATTTCTAACCAAGCCGAGGAAGCTGAATCCTTCTGTTCTTTCTTGTGTTGACCTTTTTTGAGTCAGTAATGGAAAATAAAGTAAATTCCTTTTCATAAGACTCATCCAGCTATGCTTACTGGGGGTAACTGATTATACAAATGGAAATGGAAGTAATTATCATTCATTCATTTTTGGTTAATGTCTAAAAGCTTGTCTTTAAAGGGAAGTCTTTAATAGATTTTCCACTAGGCCATAACACTACCATTAAAGTCATTAGTTGCACTTTGATTGTATTTGTGTCGGACGGTGTCAAAATCCCATGGTTAGAAATTTACATTTGGTCCAATAAAAATGTAAATTGACCACATTTTGTTATATTTAGCTTCAGTCTTTCAGATTTAATACACAGGCTGTAAAACACATGTCGTAGAACCAAAGAACAACTTGTTTGGATGGTGAACTTATCGGAAACCATGAATACATACTGTATATTATATAGCCTGTCAGGCCTTTTAATGCAAACCTGTGATTTTTTGGCTGCATCGATGACACTGACCGTAATCTCCTACTGAAGTGTGAGTGGATCAGGCCTTCACACATCTTGCACTGACAAAACAGAGCTGTAGCACCTGTCCCTCTTGTGTAACAGATTTTTATTTGTCAGCATTCACCAACTTGATGTGAAATGCGTCACAGGATGACATTTGGTTTGGTGTCCCTCATGCCACGAGCCCAGTGTGTGTGTTATCTCAGCAGTGTTCGCTGCAATGCACTTACTGTTAGCATTTCTTAAACTCTGGGTCGGGGCGTAAAGTGGGTCATGTCCTTTGCTCCAGTGGGTTCACACGTAACAAGAAAACAGCACGTATTCATGTTGCATAATGGGAATTTACTGAGAGTCATGTGCTGGGAAAAAAAGCACTTTAGCGCACTTTAGTAGTATAACCCTTTTGTTACCTTCTGATCTTTTTATTTTTTATTTCTCTGTGTAGGTCACGGGTGGATCCTTCACCTGGGGAAATAACCTGTTGACACTGTCGGACATCAACATCCGGATCCCAACAGGTAAGACTAGACGACAGGTAGAATACTTTAAAGTTCAGGTTTGTATAAGGAGAAACTCTAGTATGTGGCAATGGAAATTTTGTTTATGTTGCATATATTTCATTATATGTAAACGCAATGTGCTCAAAACATAAGAGGTTTACAATGCCTTAAGAGTGTATACCTATACAGCTATTAAGTGAAACTTTGTTGAAATAAAAAGGGTTTGACATATGTTATATATGATGCATCAAACCTAATCATTTCTGTCCTGAACCTAACCTTGCTGATTCTTCTCCTCATACTCTTCCTTTCTTTTAATTCTCTTAGATGTCGTGACATTTGAGGTTTGTTCTTCAACAGTTAGATTTGGTGTACCTCAAAGTTCTGTTTTTGGGACCTGTTTTATTTTATATATATCACTTTATAGGCTACAAGCATAATTTAGCCTTAATTAGAGTCCCAGAGAGCAGCCATTTGGCTTTTCTACCTTTAAAACCCACCTTCCAGCCAAATGGCTGGTAGGTGTTTAATATTTTAGCATTTGATTTTTACTTTCTTTTATTTTACTAATATTTTGGTTACATATTCATATTTGATGTGTATCATATTTTCTCTTTAATGTTTTGTAATGTGGATATTTGTCAGACCCAGTTCTTTTAGAATTTGCTATATAAAAACACTTGTTTTTATATGACATACGGTGCTTAACAAATGTATTAGACCACCTGTCATGTAAACAGGAAAACACAAATATTTCAGAAATCTATAGGTAAACATTATGTTGTTATGTGTTAGACAAATAATACTGAATTTATGTTTTTATACCCACATTTAAGCTGGCATACCATTTCACCGATGAAATTAATTTTTCTGTTCAGGTTAATTTAAGAAGGAAAAAAATATATTATTGTTACATTTATTCACTTTTTTAAAAATGTGACAAACTCTTTTGCTTTAAAAAAATTAAAACTGTAAATATGAAAAAAATGATCAACATGACCTATTTTTACCATTAAAAATATCATTTTGATTAAAGAGTTTGTGCACACTGGTGGATTAACCATTAGAGAAACTGTAAATTTAGGTTGGTTTTGTCACAAACCTTATATTCGGTGGCGGTCTAAAATTTGTTAAGAACTTTATAACATTAAATGCTGCTTTGTGTATTAAAGCAGTATCAGTGTTTAAATAAATACATGCAATCACAGCCAGATACTGACTCTGCCAAGTGTTTTAAATTTAGAAGCATACATCCACAGGGAAGGATCTCACTCATATCATTGCGTATTTTAATACATCTGCTGCCTTTCACTTTCTTATGGTGGCTCTGTTCGCTGTAACGTTTCTCTTCTTGTTTTAAAATCTAGTTTTTGAGATTTAAGATCACAGGAAGTTTTGAGCTTATCTTTTTTCTTTACTGTTTCAGTGTGACAAACACTGTTTTAGTATACATGACGCTGCTGTTACACCGAGAGCTGCGGTAATTCTGCACTCCTGTAACTGAAACACTGAGTGTCAGGAGACCATGTTGATGAAGCTGTTAACAAATGGACTGTATAGTATGTCTTACACGCACACAGACGGACACACACGCAGTTTCCCTCGGGAAGTGACTTGCTTGCCATCCCAGTCATGCTACTACTAAGACAACCAGGATTTGTTGTCCTGCCAAGTGCTGGTGTAATGTTGTTCGGAGTAACTGGAGTGTTATGTTTGTGCGTTTTTCAGTTTGTTTTAGAGTCATTACAGACTTTCAGCTCACAGTGGCTGCTTGCATTTAGGGGATAAGGAATAATAAACAAATAGTAGATCTGAGCTCCTTTTAAGCTTAGTTTGACTGGTTTTGTCTGAAAGTTTCTTGTAATCATATTTATAGATTACCTTGATTGTTATCTGAGAGATTATGAGCGGGGTGTATTGTTGATGTCAGTAAGTAGCGGGGTTTCTAAATGGTTAACCTGCCCTCCACATTTAATGCCTCAGATTCTCATTAACATACAATTTTCAAGTTATTGAAACATCTTATGACATATAGTCTTCTTACAGAATCATGAATATTTAAATATTAAAAGGTTACAGTGTGCCTTACTCTGTAATAAAGTAGCATCCACCAGATAAATTTAGCTAGAGTTAAAGGCAAGGTTAGGTTTGGGTTCAGGTCACGCCCACCCCCCTTTTATACAACTACCCCCAAATTAAAAATCTTTCATCTGAAAAATGTAATCGTCAAACGTATGAATCTTAATCTGAGAATCAGTTCCAGACCTGTTGCTGCCATCGATCGTACATTTTCTCAGTCTAAACTCAATTTGTTTTCTATGCACAGTTGTGAATAACATCTGTGAGATTTGAAAATCATTGTTGTCATTTAGATTTTCCACAGCCTCCCAACTTGTTTTTAAAACAGGTGTTACACTTCATCGTCTGCAATCGTGGAAAAATGAAGCTTTCACATAACTCTATGCAGTCATCTGAAAAACGAAGTACTAAGTACACTGCATGATTCAAAAGCTTGTAGGGTGGGATTTCAGTCAGGGTGACTTTCATTGGTGCAAACTTTAGCTGTCGGACACATGGCCTCACATTTGACTCTACAATACTTTTGCATACAGAAGATTTCATGGTTGACTCAGTAAGTGCAAGGTGCTGGTATGAAGTGTATGCGCTGACATGCTGTGGTGCTGTGCATTATGTCCAAACATCTCCACATTGTTTGTTCAGATGTAACATTGCAACCATTCCAGACCACCATGCCTCTTCAGTATTTGGCTGATTGTTTTGTCATGAATTTTAACTAAGGCCTGCAGAGTTTGAGATGTAGGTCTTTGATTTTTTGGAATTTCTCTGAGTATTGCATAGTTTGAATTTTCTGAGATGTCCCCTCCTGGGAAGATTTTGGCATTGTGTTAACACGCACCAGCAAACTATCACAACATCTACTTTTCATTAGCTAAACCTGGCTCATACTTACCCTCTTAACTGCCATGGAAGCAGTAAAGGTTTTTTTTAGTTCGTTACGTGACTGCAAAGAGTCTGTTTAGCATGTGGCTAAAATAACACCTAATCCTTTCTCCATGTGGGCCACCAGTGAAATGGTGGCTTTAGGAGATTAACTGAGTTTCTAGCTAGTTTACCATCACCACCTTTTTCATTTCATTCTATCTCAGGTCAGCTGACAATGATCGTGGGCCAGGTGGGTTGTGGGAAATCCTCCCTGCTGCTGGCCATGCTTGGAGAAATGCAAGCCATCGAGGGGGGAGTCTACTGGAGCAAGTAAGAAAATATTTTATAAGTACTTAGTATCTAATATGCAAGAATCTGTTAAATGTAACAGAGGATCCAAAGCTGGTGGATTAATAATAAATAAATACAGTAGCTGTTTTGGTGTGCTGCAAATAATTAAATAGAGGAAGTGGAACCCATGTTCTAAAAGCTTTGTATTTTGTATATGATGATATTTGAAATTTCTTCTGTTCTTTCTATGTGTTTCTATGTGTATAAACCTTTTAATTTTTTTTTTATGTATCAGAATGATAATCTCATATTTCTCATTTTATTTTGTTTAGTCAAACAGTTAAGTACTTTCAGTTGTTTTTGTTTCACGCCATTTTTATTTTACACATCTGGCCGCATATAGTACGTCTTCATGACCATGATTGGGAACAAATGTAAACTAATAATCTCTTGTCTGTGCACAGAGTAATGCTGACAGTAACGAGAAGAATCAATTACTGGCTCGTTAGTGTCAAACGTCCAGCAGCGACATTCACTGTCATTTAATTTGCCGCTCTCGTGGTCATCTGGGATCTGTCAGCTTCTCCTCTGGAAAGCTTTCCATTTATAAAATCAATTATGGACGACTCAGTTACAGTCAAACTATGATGTTTAAAAGCATTATGTTGTCTCCGAGTTTAATGTAATTGCCATTCATTCGCTAAAATATGGGGGATATTGAGTTACACCAAAGATGCTTTCATTCATTTTATTATTTAATTAAACTGCAAAAGACAAACTGGTTCTTCAGCCTCACAAACACCAAATGACACTGGCTGAATCAATTATGAGGAGGATATTTGGTAATAAGCAGATCTCATAGCCTCAAAGCCTGAAGGTGATTCTGCTTTCACTTTCAGGAATGAGCCATTTCTACGACACATAGAGGTCAGCTGTGTTTGTCGTCTCTGGACATTTTATTATTAGAGGAAAGGACTTCCTGGTTTCTACTGTGTCTTATGCTAATTGAAGAGAAGTTCTGAGATAACACTGGTCATTTGTAACATCTCAGTTGCTTCCATAATTGTGATCAGTTTTTCTCAATGTCCTGACAGTTTCACACTTTTAGTGGTTCACTCAGGAGTTTCACCCACAGTGTTAAAATTGGGAGGTTACTTGAATAAACATAAGTGTTTATGTAGAGCTGTGGTCAGAAGTTTAGGCCTGTTAACTTCTCATTGACCATGATTGACCACAACTAAAGTCATTAAAGAAATTAAAGAAGTCATTTAAAAATCCCCAAATACCATGACATTCATACACAGATTTTTAATGTGCAATGTGAAGCTGGAAATGGAAACAAAAGGTTGCTGTAGGTGTCTGCAGTGTGCGCCGTCATATTAGACAACTGTCCTGTGACTACGACTCATTTTCTTTCTGTAATTCAAGTTTCAGTTGCTTTTTTTTAGAGGATTTTTGAATTTCTATCGCCTATATATCTGTCTTTATATTCTTATATTGTCTTTGCACACTAACCAGTGTGTGTGTGGTTGTGTGTGTGTGTGGTTGTGTGTGGTTGTGTGTGTGTGTGTGTGTGTGGTTTCTTTCCCTTTACCTTCTGCTTTCTTGCCATATCAGGCAGCCTGATTGTGAGGTGATCCACGAGGGGAACATAAGGTACCTTCTCTCTGGTCTACAGTCATTTAAACACAGACTGTAAATACTCAGGCTTGAAAATAGGTACTATTTTCTCACTTGCATACCCTCATGTTATTTTAAAGGGGTATATTGGCAAAAGCACGAGTATCTTCTTGGTGTTAAATTAGTTTATTAGTCATAATTTTTTATTACACCCAAAAAGGTAACTGCCATCTTTCACTGCTCACTGAGCACAGCATTTCCCCATCAGTTTAATATAAAGAGGTTACAAATCATTCCATATCATTTTTTATGCCTTTCAACGTTTACATTTAGCAGTTTGGATGATTTTTTTTTATTGCTCACCGTGTGTTATGAAGGTTAAGTAAGTAAATCGCATTAGGAAGTAATCTGAAGGTGTGATCGGCTGTGGTTCACGAGCCCTACAGAAACCAGTGCTGATATCAGGTAAAGCAGTTTCTGAGTTTACCAAGGACACTTTCTATCTGGTGTTTGCTGAGTTAGTGCAAAATTGCACTGAAATTCGGAAAAGAACAACGTGGACATGCACAGCTGTCATTGAGAGTTTTTACTCTAAAATCTGCTGCACGTTTGTACTGAGTGGCAGCACTGAGGTTTAGCCTGAAGTTGGAGAGTGAGGTTAATATTGGAGATCTGTGGAAGCCACATAATTATCAGTACATTCATATTTCTCTCAAATGTTGAAGGAACACAATTTTTATCCTTACATTAGGATGTCTGATGCTCTTGGCTGATGATGGCCTCAGAGGAATGGGACATTCACTGTTTGGTTCTGCTTTGATGCAGAGACATTAATCAGTCTGAATGTTGTAGCAGGATAGCTACAACATTCAGACTGTATCGTTGTAACACATGCCTGATGGATCGATTACTTTATGTTATTCAGTGGTTAAACTGATTTCCATGAGCCAAGAGAACCAGTACAGAAGTTTAACACACTGAAAGCTCTTAGAGTGACCAAACCATCTGAGAAGGGTCTGAAACTTGCGTAACTCTTGCCGCTGTTGTAATGTTTTTGTAATGTCATAAGACTAATCTAAAAATATTAAATTGTTACATTACAGTGTTACATATTGAGAAACTAATTGCAAGAGAAGATAATTTATGTGTTATTTAGTTTCTTACAGCTGTTTAAAATAAAACAAACATAATAAATAACACACACCACGTACGAAACTCAGAAGTATAAATGCTGTCCTCTCTGCAGCCTCTCTACACATGATGCTTTTAAACTTTTCTCTTTTTTTCAAAGCTAATTTGGTTTTACTCATTTTTCATGTCTTGTTAAACTGTAGATGTAACAGTAAAATCGAATATTCATTGACATGCAAGAAACAGAAAAGACTATTTGCTCATCTATGCATATTTATTACATCAATCATTGATTTTGATTAAACTGAACACGTCATTATTCTATAGGTTTATACACCACAGTGTTGCACTGTTTTTCTTTGTTCTAGCACTCCTATTGCCAGATTCTCACTCACTATTTTTAAATATATTAGCTGACTTTTGTGTATGACTTTTGACAACCATGTAATTTTTGAAATGTAAACCTTTCAACTCTACTCTACTAACTCTATTACTAGTCCTCCAATAGTACTGGAGCTGGAGAACAAGAAACAGTACATCCTTAAAGTAACACTGAAAATGTCTCTGAGCTTAAATTAGCATGAGCGGAGAGTGAGGGCTGGATACTTTTTAAAGTGCAGTCAGGGCGTATTTGATGCTGCACGTCCTTCTGTAAATAGGCTTGATTTAGCAGTTGGATTGAAGATTCTCTGTTTGTTGAAGGCTCTTCTGTTTATGCCTGTGCTCGTTTAAGCTGGGATATGATTCTTACACAAGCACACTCTCAGTCGCAGAAAATACACGACCTCATTGTCGAGGAAGCCACAAAACCTAATTATCACAGACAGACAATGACTGCATCACTTACACAGCCCTTCTTTTCTGGGTGGGAAGGTTAATTCAGTTAACAGCTGGCAGGCTGGGGTTTGACATGACTCTTCCATTTGTTTTCATGTTTTTTTTCTTCTTCGTGCTTTTGGTTTTCCTCCTTAAAAAGCGAAGCAGCAGCTCATCTTTTGTGTTTTGTTATCGCTTTGCTTTTGTTGCGGTGGTCTTGTCCTTGTGTTCACACGTAAGCGCAAATATACATGCAGTGGACGGCAGCAGGCTAATTCTAACACACTGACTTTGACAGTTGGTCAGAGGCAGAGGAGTCTGACGAAGACATCGGGAGGTACTCGCTCTTCTTCTGGTCTCGACCTCAGAATGATGTGACCCTTTGACCCCTCAGTCTCACCTCCTCTTCTTTCTCCTCTGCTTCTCCTCCTCTTTCAGTTTTAACCCCATTTGTCAGTGTTACTGTGCCTCAGAAGAAGTTGCCATTTTGCAAATAGCCAGGTTGTTGTTCTTGAACACATATATATATAAGCTGTCTTTTCTATACCTATAAAAATAAATATTATATAGTGTTAGTCATAGACAAAAACCATAATTCTTTAGTGAATACACAGCTTATAATACTGAAATTAAAAAGCAATGCAAGGTTGCCAGTTTATTAATGCAACATTATTTTACTTTTATTGATTTTTTCTTTTGTTTTATAAAGAGGTAAAACGTCCAGTAAGCGTTTCATTATTTTAACTTTTTAAATACAGAGATTTTCTTTATCTAATGCTTATGAGGACTTGAAATGTGATTGAAGTTAAACCTGAACCAAGTTCAGTAAGACAGCAGCTTAATGAGGAACCACAGATGGATCACTTATTGGTTTATTCTTTCTTTCTTAAATGATTTTGCTACATCAGGTCATATTGTGTGTGTTCAGGACCGTCAGCCTTCAGAGAGTGTTCTGCTCATTGTGTTGCTTTTTGTTCACGTGCTGTCTGTTGTTTTTGTTTTTATTGCTGGGAGTCATTGGACCCCCCCATTCAAAAAAACAAACAAAAACCAAACAAACAACAGACTTTCTGATGCAATTGCGATATTTCTGCTAGAAGATAGCACCAAATAAGAAAACGGGAGCTGGCCACTTTATTACTTTTTTTCTCCAAAAAAGTTTATTTATAATAGCGGTTTGTTGACAGTGGCAGTTGGATGACAGACCTCTCAATCTAATGGCTTCAGATCGAAAAATATACATGTGGTGACTTTGAGGAAGACTTTGTTGGTAAGAAGATTAATTTTCTTATGATTTGAGGGTAATATGATGGTTATAGAATAAAAATTGTAGGCATGCCAACAGGTTCAAAAGAAAATTTTAATTAGAACTTTTCCCCCTTTTTTTGTCTGTTAATTAGTCCACTGGAGCCTTCTCATTCCCTCAAATGGGCGAAGCATTTTGTGAATTTTGTAAAATCTAGATCATAAAAATAAATAAAAGTATTAGACTTATAACCTTGCTAGTTGATTTAAAGTTTTAACAACAAACCTGTGTCAGAGGAACAAGGCCAGAGAAAGAAAAACCACAGCTGAAGGATACCCCAACCATAAATATGAAAAAATTAGATGAGAAATGGGATTTTTTTTGACAAATTGTTAGATAATTAAAAAATGGTATGCAAAAACTAGAAATGTTTGCACACTGGTGACTTTCATTTTCAGGCTTTGAATGGTGTTTCCAGTTTTGGACGTACAACAGCATATACTGGGATTATTTGCTTTACATAATCCCATCAATTACTAAGTTTAAGATGAAATCAGCAACTGGGAGCAAAGATGTATTGTTCCCTCTTAGACAACCTCAGGCACCCCTTAACCAACACCTCATCACATGTAGACAATCAGTAATTAAGCCTAAGCAGCACCCAAAGACTCCTTACACTGCCACCTCAAGGAGCCAGCTGTATAATAGACTTTCTAACAGGGTCTATACAGGGAGTGCAGAATTATTAGGCGAGTTGTATTTTTGAGGAATAATTTTTATTATTGAACAACAACCATGTTCTCAATGAACCCAAAAAACTCATTAATATCAAAGCTGAATGTTTTTGGAAGTAGTTCTTAGTTTGTTTTTAGTTTTAGCTATTTTAGGGGGATATCTGTGTGTCCAGGTGACTATTACTGTGCATAATTATTAGGCAACTTAACAAAAAACAAATATATACCCATTTCAATTATTTATTTTTACCAGTGAAACCAATATAACATCTCCACATTCACAAATATACATTTCTGACATTCAAAAACAAAACAACAACAAATCAGTGACCAATATAGCCACCTTTCTTTGCAAGGACACTCAAAAGCCTGCCATCCATGGATTCTGTCAGTGTTTTGATCTGTTCACCATCAACATTGCGTGCAGCAGCAACCACAGCCTCCCAGACACTGTTCAGAGAGGTGTACTGTTTTCCCTCCTTGTAAATCTCACATTTGATGATGGACCACAGGTTCTCAATGGGGTTCAGATCAGGTGAACAAGGTGGCCATGTCATTAGTTTTTCTTCTTTTATACCCTTTCTTGCCAGCCACGCTGTGGAGTACTTGGACGCGTGTGATGGAGCATTGTCCTGCATGAAAATCATGCTTTTCTTGAAGGATGCAGACTTCTTCCTGTACCACTGCTTGAAGAAGGGGTCTTCCAGAAACTGGCAGTAGGACTGGGAGTTGAGCTTGACTCCATCCTCAACCCGAAAAGGCCCCACAAGCTCATCTTTGATGATACCAGCCCAAACCAGTACTCCACCTCCACCTTGCTGGCGTCTGAGTCGGACTGGAGCTCTCTGCCCTTTACCAATCCAGCCACGGGCCCATCCATCTGGCCCATCAAGACTCACTCTCATTTCATCAGTCCATAAAACCTTAGAAAAACCAGTCTTGAGATATTTCTTGGCCCAGTCTTGATGTTTCAGCTTGTGTGTCTTGTTCAGTGGTGGTCGTCTTTCAGCCTTTCTTACCTTGGCCATGTCTCTGAGTATTGCACACCTTGTGCTTTTGGGCACTCCAGTGATGTTGCAGCTCTGAAATATGGCCAAACTGGTGGCAAGTGGCATCTTGGCAGCTGCACGCTTGACTTCTCTCAGTTCATGGGCAGTTATTTTGCGCCTTGGTTTTTCCACACGCTTCTTGCGACCCTGTTGACTATTTTGAATGAAACGCTTGATTGTTCGATGATCACGCTTCAGAAGCTTTGCAATTTTGAGACTGCTGCATCCCTCTGCAAGATATCTCACTATTTTTGACTTTTCTGAGCCTGTCAAGTCCTTCTTTTGACCCATTTTGCCAAAGGAAAGGACGTTGCCTAATAATTATGCACACCTGATATAGGGTGTTGATGTCATTAGACCACACCCCTTCTCATTACAGCGATGCACATCACCTAATATGCTTAATTGGTAGTAGGCTTTCGAGCCTATACAGCTTGGAGTAAGACAACATGCATGAAGAGGATGATGTGGACAAAATACTCATCCATCCATCCATTCGCTTATCCTTTTCAGGGTCGCGGGGGGCGCTGGAGCCTATCCCAGCTGTCATAGGGCGAGAGGCGGGGTACACCCTGGGGAGAACATGCAAACTCCACACAGAAAGACCCCGGCCTGATGGTGGAATTGAACTCAGGACCTTCTTGCTGTGCGATAACAGTGCTAACCACCGTGCCACCGTGCTGCTTACAATAAGCGGAAATAATTATTTTAATAGTGGTTTAGGTTTAGCAAATACTCATTTGCCTAATAATTCTGCACTCCCTGTATTTCATCTATACCTCTGAATATGCACAATTTAAGACAGTACAGTTCTGAGAAATGGCTGAATTCGGGTATCCTAAACGTTTATATATATTACTTACTATACAGCCAGATATGGACGAGAAAAAAACAACTTTTAGAGACAAAATATTAGAAAACTGTCATCATCACAGCTCTCTGACCTCATTAACGACTTCACACCAGAGCGGGTCTCAGCTCAGACTCCCAGCAGTGGTTTTTGACGTGTTGATGTTTGTATTCATGATTGTGTTGCTGTAGATGATGTCATGTTGTTTTTTATCATTATTAACTGTTGATAATTTGCAGCTCATCATTAACCTCATCCATGACCTTCATATTTATCCCTCATATCTCACAAGTTGTTTTTACATTGCAGTGGAGTTTGACAGATTTACAAACATAATCCTCCCTCTCTTCCTCCTCGTTTTGTTTTTGTTTTTATGTTTGGGTCCCACTTTCATAAAGCTGATCAGAACAGGAGTACTGATCTTATGTTAGCTTTAGCCTTTAGATACAGCAAAAAGCTACATACTGATAACTGTAAATAAAGCTGCAATGTTGTATTATGGTGCTGAATTCAATGGAGAGGTTTTAGAGAACAAAAAGAAATTCCCAGATTAAACTTAAAAATTTATATTTAAAACGTAATGTTGGAATTAAACACTAGTATTTTTATTTGTTCAAGAAACAATATTGCTTTACTTTTTTTAGGTTAGCTTTTCCTTAGTGAATGACTTATTATATTAATAACTAAATACTTTAACAATCATAAGGATGCTGAACTGTAAGCAACATTGCTGTGAAGGTGGATCAGTATTTCTGCTCTTTAAAGCTTTATGGATGCATGACCTGCATTTTTTTACCTAGTATCTGTTTGCCTCTATTTCCTGTGGTGCACACAGCAAGAACAGAAACTCTGTTGCCTACGCTGCCCAGAAGTCCTGGCTGCTCAACGCTACTGTGGAGGAAAACATCACCTTCGGTAGTCCATTCAACAAACAGCGGTGAGAACCCCACAGCTCACAGTTACAGCTCACCTCAGCGGTGCTTTGTGTTCACATTGAGAGCTTTCCTGACATGTTCATGGGTGTTTTTCAGGTACAAAGCAGTGATTGACGCCTGCTCTCTGCAGCCAGACATTGACCTGCTGCCATTCGGAGACCAGACTGAGATTGGAGAGAGAGTATGCAAGTTTTTAATTTGCCTTAAAAAAAAACAACATAATCACATGAAGGGATTTAATTTATCTGTTTCTGTGTCAGGGCATCAACCTGAGTGGAGGGCAGAGGCAGAGAATCTGTGTGGCCAGAGCTTTGTACCAAAACACCAACATCGTCTTCTTGGTAAGCTTAAAATTCCCTTAAACTTTCTTTTTAATGTTCAAAACATTGGAAACTCTTCTGAGTTCTGTCTTTTTTTCTTTTTTACAATGTGCAATTAGAATTTTTTTTAATGTAAAATAAAGACTTTTACTCCTAATTTGTAGCCAAATTAGATAATGCCATTTCTTTACAAGATTAAGTTCTGTAGTATTCTAATCTTCCCTTTTTTATATAATTAAATGTATCATGCAGTGATGTATTATGTGACACACAGTACATTGTGGCCGTTGGGATAATGACAGTGAATGCTGTCATTTGTTTATCTGGCTGAGTAGTTGTGTAATTTCCTGCTGCCACCTCGATTTTTAGTCCATTAGCAAGCATACATTCCTCATTAAAATCCATCAGTGGAATTCTTTTATACACTCATGACCCTTTGTAATGTCTACGATGGTTAAGAAAAAAATGAAATGTATAATGAGGAGGGAATGTTTTTCTTTTGTGCTGTTCATATCTGATATCAGGGCTGGAATATATGCGTCATACACTCCCACATCCCACAGCCATAACACAGGCTTCATTAACACAGTATAAAACACATTATAGCATCCGCCGTCCTGTTAGCACAAAGATTAATGGACATCTGGCTGTTATCCCGAGGAGTTTAAGTTGTGATGAAGAGCTGGATATAATCAAAATTATCTCAGAAATCAGGTAGAACAGGTAGTACAGAGACACAGGGAGAATTTACTAACTTTTACATGGTGCAACTAATCATTTCTGCTTGGAAATTTCACATTACAGTTTTTTCCATTGTTTCATAAAGTATAAATATCTATTTACGGATTTACCTTTATTTAACCAGGAAGTCTAAGGGAGATTAAACGTATTTTCCACAAGAGGAGCCATGCAAACCGAATTTATATAAAAAATACAACAAAAGTACAACATCTACATCATGATGTACAATATACTATTACCTACCTGCCTCCACATGCCTCCTTTACAGCATTCCTTATGATGGAAACTGAAAGCTTGCTTAGGTTTAATCTTTGGGCAGGGATAGCTCAGTAGGTAGAGTGGTGGCCCCATGATCGGAAGGTCGGGGGTTCGACTCCACTGAACGGCTACCCTGATGTACCCCTGAGCAAGGTACCGTCCCTGCACACTGCTCCCCGGGCGCTGCACTGGTGGCTGCCCACTGCTTCACTGGGTGAATGGGTTAAATGCAGAGGAACTATTTCCCTATGGGGACTAACATGCACACTTTACACTTCTGCAGATTATTCCATGTCCAGTGTTGCAAGGAAATGCTGTACATAAATAGACTGAAAATAGACTGTACATAAAAAATGTACAGACGTGAGATCTCCCACTGGTCCAGGACCTTCTGTTTTGAAGCCTCGAATTGAACAAACTGACAGTCAACATTTTGGTTTCCAAAAGCTTGAAGTGATGACCTTTTGACATCACAGATTCATCCAGCCAACATAGATACATGCTAATAAAAGCTAACAAGTGGACAAGGCGGCAGCCAAAGCTACTTGGCAGTCAAAGTAGTCTCTCCCCTCGTAATGGAAATTTAAAGACTGAATTTCAATTGGAGAGTTTTTGTCCAGCTATCATAAAGAGAGAAACTCTCCACAGAAACCAAAATCGTCTTTTGTGACTCCACAGCTACTTTTAGGTGCTCCCTTGTCACAAGGGGTTACCAAAGCAGGTAGCCCCCAAAAATGCCTTTGCAGATATAACCCCAAAGGGGATTTGTGCCTTCAGCCAGAAGCAAACCAGTGACTTTTTACAGTACTTGCCAAAAAATATGACACCTCTCAACTAGCTTTAAAGTTAGCATAGTGTATGGAGCAAGCCATTTGAGGAACTGCATATTCTTGCACTTCCTGTTGGATTCATTTTCAGGTTAGAATCTTTCTGTTTGATTTTTAAAAAACTTTTCTCATGGCAATTTTTTTTAAAAAAAGAAAAAACAATCAATGGTAATTTGTACAGATAGTACAAAATAGACTTTTCTAAGTAAGGGTTTGAGCATTAAGATATAGACTATTGTTTATACTCAAGAGACTTTTATCCACCACATCTCTAATTAAGGCTTTGTCTGTCATAAATCTGATATACATCAGATTTGCTTTTCATTTGAAAATAAACTCAATTTGAAAGTCTTTTATGATCATAAATACTTCTCACAAAATGTGATCCTCCAGGTATTCACTTATGAGAGTGAAACATGACAGAGCAGAAGACATATGTGTCAGTGTTACAAATGTTAGTTTAAACCAGTTGATTACATACGTATTCAGGACTAAACATTTTTAAAAGTGAATACGTATAAAAGCATTTCAGATTGAGAAAGTCATTCGTTTGTCAGATTAACTGATATCCATGCTTCTCTCTTAAATCTTGCAGGATGATCCATTCTCAGCACTCGACATCCACCTCAGTGATCATTTGATGCAAGAAGGAATCCTTAAATTTCTGCAGGATGATAAACGAACCGTGGTCCTCGTGACCCACAAACTGCAATATCTTATACATGCAGACTGGGTAGGGCCTTCTGTTTGCAGGAAAATACATGTCATAAATTCAGTTTTCATTGAGCCTTAACATTATATTGTGTGTTTTGTCCAGATTATAGCAATGAAGGATGGTACAGTCCTGCGAGAGGGAACTCTGAAGGACATTCAGACTCATGACATTGAACTTTATGACCACTGGAAAACCCTGATGAACAGGCAGGATCAAGGGCTGGAGAAGGTACGGTATAAATCTGCAGCTGTCTAAGTGTTTAGTAAAGCTTTCTGTCTACTCTAATGTTTCTCCTATTATATCCACTCTTCCGGTGTGTAGGACATTCAGCAGGACAGTCAAACAACACTTGAGCGGAAGACGCTGAGGAGAGCTTTCTACTCCAGAGAGGCCAAGAACCAAATAGATGATGAAGATGAAGGTGACAGATTCCTTTTCAGTGTAACTGGTTGAGTCATGTTGTCAGAGTTTCCTCCTGAAAAGACATGATGACACATAGACATAGTGCCATCTTAGGGTTCATTGTCAAAGTTTGGTGGAGTGCTTGTTTCTCCAAAATATTCTAGATTTACTGTAGGAAACATGTTAGTACTCAAAAGTCCTTCTAGTATTTTAATTGAATGTAACTTATCACTAATTAGCACCATGGCATCTTCAATACCATCTGTGATGATTAAAATGGTTAATTTATAATCACCTTAAAATAAAAATGATATCTTCTAAATGGGATTTTATTCTAACAGAAGAAGAAGCCGAGGAGGAAGACGATGACAACTTTTCCACGACCACCAACAGAAGGTCAAAGATCCCGTGGAAGGTAATCCACTCATCTGCACAATGACATTTTCTCGTGATTTAAAGTGTTGTTAGCAACAACATTAACTGCCACAAAAGAAAAATAACCTCAGCTAGTTTACTGGGCAGTTGTTTGGTGTAGTGTTAGTTACCTGCTACTATTTTTTTAGAGGAATAACAAGTTTGACCGACCAAATAACCAGTGGCTACTGCTTTTCTTACTATGACCCATGCTGCTCTCTCAGGTGTGCTGGTGCTACCTGTCTTCTGGGGGGTTCTTCATGGTCTTCCTCATGATTTTCTCTAAACTCCTCAAACACTCCGTCATTGTGGCAATCGATTACTGGTTGGCTAACTGGACGTCGAAAATCAATAACAGTGCAGAAACAGACATGTATATTAATGGAACCAGACCCACCAACACCGCAGTGCAGGTACAATATGTCTGTCATGGGTTTTAATGGGTTTTACTGGGATTGTAATTGGTTTTATTAGGATTTTAATGGGTTTTATTGGGATAATGTATTAAAATCACTTATGAACTGAATCTCCTGTTGACTCTCTGAATGTTGCAGAGAGCATAATAAGGGAAAATATATACAAATTAAATGTACATTTTAACTGAATGATTAAAAAAATCACAAATGCAGAGATCAGAAACCAGTTGGTGACATCACAGTGGCTCTATTTGTATTTTAGAAACATTTAATGATAATATTAGTTTCTGACATGTTGCTCTTGTTTCTCCATGGTGTGATTTCTGTCTTGTTGTGTGTCACCGGGGGCAGGACTCCTACTATCTGCTAGTGTTCATCATCTTGTGCGCGGCTGGAATCACTTTATGCCTCATCACCTCCCTCACTGTGGAATTTCTTGGTCTTTCTGCAGCCACCAACCTGCACCACAACCTCCTCAACAAGATCATTCACGCTCCCATCAGGTACATAAAACAGAACTGCAACAAGACCAGAGTAGACATCTGTAAAAAAGCTCGAAGCTCACATTTAATCTTTTAAGCAAACCTACGTCTGCTTTTATAACCTGTTGGAAGTTGTTTTTGTCTTTTACATGCTGAATTCTTAGTCTTTTAATCTATATGTGTTTACTTGGTAGTAAATGTGTGTGTAAAAGTTGTATTTTTTATTTTACTTATAACCTGTGCTGGTTTTTTGCGCTGAAGCGAGAATGGACCCTGGAGGTGAAGCTGTGCATTTGCTGGTTAATTAGCGTTCTGAGTTTGAAGACTAACAAATATCCTAAAGAGTGAAGCCTTTACATGGGAGCTTCTTGAAATGTGGATTAACCTTTTTAATAAATCTGCTGGCGGTTTTGATCCAGCACCTATGTCATTGTGCCATATGGCTCAACTATGGCTGTAGGAAGTGCCCCAAATAATAATAATAATAAGACTGGCACTAGAAGACGCAGAACTGAGCTTTTCCTGAATGGTGTCTTGGGTCACCCCTAACGATGGGGTGAAGGGTGCAGTCATTTAGACTACTGTGCATCAAACGTTAGTTTGCACTTCTGTGCAGGCGTTTTGGGTATGTTAGACTTGGAGGAGCAAGGACATGGATGAATTATCTCTGGGCTGGGTTGGAAAACACCGCAGTGTGCTGTTGGAAGAGTAATATGTGGTGATGAATGGAAGAGAGTCAGGGGAGCGTTGATTGTATTTCCTCACATCACTTTTGTAAGTGGTAGAAAATCATCAGAATCAGAATACTTTATTGATCCCTAGGGGAAATTATGTAAAATGGATGGATGGATCCGCTGAACAGTGTGTTTTTGAGTGTGACTGGGGACTTTGGCGAACCATCCTCACACTTGAGCCATATCTCTAAGGAAACAGTTGAGTTTTGTGTGTGTGGCTGCACTTGTCCCGCTGTTCTTCGCTCATCATCGGTCTTCGTAATTGATGGAAAGTTTTCTGTTGCTCTTTCTGCAGACTCCCTCTCTTTTCTTCAGGATTACATAACCCTTATTTAAACACCTCTCTCCACAGGTTCTTTGACATCACTCCTTTGGGGCAGATCCTCAACAGATTCTCAGCTGATACCAACATCATCGACCAGGTAAACTGATGAATTTGCATAAGAGATAATGGACTCGAGGCCCATGAGGAAGCGTGTACACAACTGCTGCACTGAACAGATGTTTTAATTATTATTCCTGGTTAGCCGTCAAAGTGAAGTTGTGATTTGTTTGTGTTTTGCTAAACTAAAAGAAGGAAGCAAACATGACTGAACTCCCACTTCCTCATTTCCTTTCATTGTAGCATATTCCTTCAACGCTGGAATCTTTGACGAGATCCACGCTGCTCTGTTTGTCAGGCATCGGGGTCATAGCCTCAATCACTCCTATTTTCCTGGTTGCCTTGGTTCCTCTGGCTGTGGCCTTCTACTTCATTCAGAAGTATTTCAGAGTCGCCTCCAAGTATGTCCACAGTGTATTTGTTGTAGCTGCAGCGCATAATTTTTCTATCTAAACAAATCAGGGAGTTTATTTAGATGCAGTGAGCTGAATCTCCTCACTGCAGGAAACAGGAAACATCAACTTGATGATTTATGGGAACATGAATTCTGAATGAGTACACCAGAGGACATCATGCAAATAGGATTCAGTGTGTAATATGCATGTGTACACTTGTGCATGGGAGATTTCATATGAAGTGATATGCATACTGTAAAAACACCTCCTCTCAGGGACCTCCAAGACCTCGATGACTCAACACAGCTTCCTCTGCTCTGCCACTTCTCTGAGACTGCAGAAGGTCTCACCACCATACGAGCTTTCAGGTACACGTTTGTCTTTTATGCACTGAAATTTGCAACCCTTGTTTTTTTTCTAAAAATTGGTCAAAAAATGTGAACGACGATTTTACGGCTGCTTGCTGTGCTCTGCAGAAGATCATTCGTAAACAGAAGAAATCAAAACAGTGGTGAATTTTTTATATTCTTCAGTTCAAACTACTAAAGTTCAAACTGGAAATCGAGACAAATACAGAAGATAGAGTGTATTGGCATAGCTTTTGTAAAAGATGTACTTCAGTCATGTTTTACAGGCATGAACATTTTTTCATGTTTATTTTAATGTTTTGTGTCTTTTTTTCTTCTGCCTGTGGTAACTTGAGTTGAAAACAAGTGAACTTCTTTTAAGTTCCTGAAGATGTTTCAAATCTCAGGTTTTTCCACTTCTGATGCCACATTTAGATAAGAGGTAGAACATCGTCAAGAGCCTAAAAGAAGTCCACTTACTTTCATGTCAAGCCCATTAAATGACCTTGACCTGGATGACTGAGAAGCTAGACTGGCACTGTAAGTCAGCGGTTCTCAAAGTGAGGTCTGGGACCCGCAGAGGCCCAAAAAAGCTCACTGCATAATTTGCTATGAATCGTAAGTTTGTGCTGTATTATTACAAATATAAAGATGGAGACATTTTATACCACTGTTTGGGCCCAATAGACACTGATATGAAAATAGCAAAGTACAAGTACTTTGTATATACCTATAGTTTTCAGGCATCTGTACTTTACATGACTCCTTATTTTTCAGACATCTTTTTGATTCCTATCGCTAAATTTTAACACAAATATCTCTACTTTCCATTCCTTACATTCTCAATACAGACGCATTACTCTAGATTTATCACATTTAAGGGTAGGTACTGATTCTTTCTCATCACTGCACACCTTCCAGACTTCCAGCCAATTTTAACCTAAATAAAGGGAACAATAACACATAAAAGACAACTTTACTGGTGTATCCATCATTGCACATGACTGATCTAAAACATATAAAAATGAAAGAGGCAAAGCAAAGACATAAAATCTTTCTGCAATGAGAGAGGAAATGTGCTGTTAGTGACATTATGAGAGCAAATGAAGACACTGGGCAGCTAGCTTTGCTCAAAAACAACTCGTAGAAAGAACGATTTTTTTACTTTTGAAGAAAAGTTAAATCAGTACTATTGCTTCAGAGGAAACTATAGTATTGAATAGACCAATCACAACACCTGTGGGTTGCGTCAGTGTGACGTGCAGTTCCATTTCTAGGCAAGAATACATCATGTTATGGTGTAGGCTACAGCTCCTTATCCAGCTAGCTATCTGGCACGCGTAGCCAGGGCTTTATCTGCTGCAGACCGGCTTTGACTGGCTTTTGCATTCAGTCCTTCACAGGCATCACCTTTGCATGCCTAATTCCAAACTTTGAAGTTGAGTCCACACAGTGTGACTACAGAAGAGATCTCCATAGAAAACACATGACAGTAAATGTGTACATAAACATTTGGTTCTTTTGCATAACTTTTGAAGCTCTTTTCTGAACTGAGTGGTTTCGTATTTCGGGCTGACTGATAGAGCGAAATGACTGAGTTTGTGAAGTTATTGAAGATGATCTTTGCCTGTGCAGCAAGGCTTGGAAAAATCTGGAGACCGTTCTAATGGTCATCAAACACGTCTTTATTGAGGTGTCAAAACACTTCATTAAGGGTACAGGGAAGGTTGTCTTCATTATGGAATGAGTTAAAGTGTCCGTTAGCACTTTTTATCCTGTCACCTTCCACAGTAGAGCTGTTCAGAGCCCTTTAGATTGATAGGATTGCCGTCTTTGCAGCTCTCTGGTAAGCTGTCACAGTTTAGGTTTTACTTTCAAACATTTTGTGTTGTGCTTTGCTGCCGTTCCTGTGGCGGTAGCGAGAGAAGTATCTTCTTGTATTTCTGTATTCAGCCTCGTTCCCATCGTCCGGATAATCCAACATTAAGCAGCTCTCATACTTTTTTCTCCTCGTTTCCCCTGAGGACTTCCTCTTCCTAACACACACAAATATACAAACACTGAAGGACTCACACACACACAAAAACAGTGAATCTGGTGTTGAGACAGATTCTTGGCAATCGTGGGATAGTTCCCATTATCGTAACCACTGGTCTCCTTCCAAACCACGTCTGGTTTAGATGGCAGTGATTTACTACTGAATACAAACAAAGATAAAACTTTGAGATTCACCAGGCTGAAGTACAGTCGAGCTGCTCCCCTTCTTTCATTGAAAAACAGTGTACTTCTCTTACTTCCTGTTTGCGTTTTGTTTGTTATTTGTACTCCCTGTGTGAGTTTATTGTTTGTGTTCATTATTGAGGATTTAGGGGAAGATGATGTCAGCAAGTGATCAAAAGCCAAAGGCAGGAGGGCACCAGCAGTTCAGTGCATTGGTGAAGCCGTTAAACAACTGATGTGTCTTCTGTTCAATTACATTTTTGCTGCAGACACGAGGCTCGGTTCAAACAGCGCATGCTGGAGCTGACCGACACCAACAACACAGCGTACCTGTTTCTGTCTGCTGCCAACCGCTGGCTCGAGGTCAGAACGGTGAGAAACTCTTTTCATCGGACTCAGAAGAGGAGAAAGTGTTTGGTTATATAAATATGAGAGAGAGAAGATCTGAAGCTTTTGCTGCGGGTTGGGATTTGTTATGAATATGTTGTATTAGTGATATTTTGTTTCCTGATGTCTCTGCAGGACTACCTTGGAGCAGTGATTGTACTGGCAGCGGCGGCAGCTTCAATATGGAGTTTCCATTACGGGCTTCATCCCGGAGGTCTGGTGGGCCTGGGCCTTACCTACGCCCTCACTGTGCGTTTTCTCTTTTATGTACAGTTATTATCTTTTTTTTACTCTTTATTCAGTCAGTGAGTTGCCCTCCATTCGTAGTTAGACACTAATTTAAATTACTGTGTTTTAAAAGCAAGTTTTTCAAACCTAAATTGACGCGGGGTTACGCGGCAGAACAAACAAGCTGAGTTTAAATTATATTAATTACTATTTAATGGATCATTTGTGCTGTGTAATAAGTCTGTGTAAAGATTCATTCAAAGTGATGCTGACGTATAAATTTGATCTCCATGCTACAAAAATGCCTCTGTGCAGGTCACCAACTACCTGAACTGGGTTGTGAGAAACCTGGCAGACCTCGAGGTTCAGATGGCAGCTGTGAAGAAGGTCAACAGCTTCCTCAGCACAGAGTCTGAGAACTACGAGGGCTCTATGGGTAACTCAGTGTTAGGCTGATGGAGCAGATATAGCAACATTTTGTAAATGTTTATTGTGATTTACATCCCTGTATTCATCATAAGCTCTTCTTAATCAGAGTCTTTCTAAGAACTTACTCCTCTTTTCATCCTTTCTGGAGGTATAGACCTAAAATATATAAACTTACTTTGTGGGGGAATTATACAATCAAAAATGCCTTGCAGTGCCCTCCACATCCGTCTCCAGCAGCCTTTAATAACCAGACAATCCCAGTAAACATGCGAGTGGTTTGCACTGTGGTTTCCACAGTTCCTCCAGCAAACCTTTGGGCCTTTGGTGTCTATTTACTGCTCAGCTTTGACGTCTTTGATGGAAAAATGTGGCCTAAACATGGCGGAGTATGTCTTTAGATCTCCACCAGCAGCATCAGTATATAAAAGTGTGATAAAATTGCATCTGCAGTGCAATGGCACAAACTGTGGACTTTGTAAACACATTTAGACATCTGATGTTACACATGATACACACACACACACACACACACACACACACACACACACACACACACACACACACAAACACAGATCTATGTATGGTTATTTGCCAAAGGAATGGAGTGGACTGTGACTGTACAGTATGCATGTGATGTGAGTAGGTTCACTGTGTTCAGTGAGTGTATGTGTGTAAAACCTTTTTCATAGTTTTATCTTTTTTGCTTATGACTCCAGAAGTTGTGTGTTTGGGTTTATGGACTGTTTCTATGGTGAAATGCAAAAGCTGCTGGCATCTTTTTTTCCCCAGTTGAAGAGATGGCAAAACATGAACACTTCATTATTTAATCAATCAATAGCATAGTACCACTGAGAGTACTAATGCCTAGCCAGGCCAAAATTAAACCTAACCAAACCCAACTAAACTATTTTACATGTTGTACAAAACGGGAAAATGTTTCGCTGGTCAGCCAAAGAACATTTCTCCGAGGCAGAGCAGCTACAGTATTTTGGCAAACATAACAAAAACAATTCCTGAGCTTGATGAATGGATAGAAAGTGAAGGGATAAAAAAGGAGGCACGATGGAACGAGAAAATACTTTATCTCAAATTTAAACAAAAAAAAAAACTGAAACAAAGGAAAGTCCAGTTAAGAACTGGCTCTCTGTCTGTATCTCATATGAGCATCATCCATCTGATTGAGTTTTCCACTGAAGTCTTTTTCTTACAGTAAATGACCCACAAAACCAAAGTCCTCACTGACATCATGGAAGCTTCCAGCAAACTGATAAAGGAGGATAAAGGAGGAGTAAGCTAAAAGCAGGACTATGAAATCCTTACCTTTCAGTGCAGTAATATGATCAATGCAGGACGCAGACTCAGCTTTTTGTAGCATGTCATAGGACTGCTAACACGCAAATATTTTCTTTATTCTCTTTAGTTGACTGTTGGAGGCCAAAATCATAACTGATATTAAAATATGAATAATTGCCCAGCAGCGGTTTTATTGTTTACTGTAACTCAGGATGGAGAGCGTTTTTTTTCTTCATCTTTTTGTTTCAGTTAAAACAGTCCCCTTGGTTTATGACCAAAACAAACAGCACGCTAACACAGCAAAGTAAACTTGATCAGAACTACATCTTCTAAACTGTAACATGCTACCATATTAATTGTGAGCATGTTGGAATACAGAGGTTAGCTGTTAGCCCCCCAGAGCCTCTTGACCTTTTCCTCAGTGCATTAGTAGCACTACTGGAACACACAGCCATGGCCCAAAAAGTCAGCTTGCCCCTGTTTTAGTGCATATGTAGCACCAACAACAAAATGAGATGTGAAAGAGACAGAGGCTAAATAACGGAGCATAAAAACACCAGGGAGGAAAGAATTGTAACAAACATGTGCAAAAGTGATCAAAATGAATTAATAATCAGTTGTAAATAAGCAAATGAAATTTGGCTACAATATTATAGCAAAGACGTGTAAAAGAACAAAAAACAAAACCTGAGGCGCAGTCACTCTGGCTGTGATTGCCCTCTGCGGGTGATTATACACATCTCTGCCCAGGGATCGTGTTCCTGTCATGAACCACTGTGTGTTCAGGGTTGTGGACTCAAATGCAGGACTTAGGTGACAAAAACTGAACATAAGATGAGCATCTGAGGCTGATTAAATAACAAAGTTCTATAATGTAAGAATTAGCAGAGAGCAAAGCATCCAGGAAACAGTAGGAATACTTCTTTAGAAAACACAGAGAAACCCAAGCTGAAGGTACGGTAAATGGACTGGTCCTTCTGTAACACTTTCTTCTACACCTAAGGGCAATTTCATACCTGCAGTTCATTCAGTCTTGTCTGAATCAGTCGATGAGTTTATAAATTTATAGCTTATTTTGTTTGTTTTTCATGCAGAGAAAAAATTCAAGTGAACTTTGAGAATGTTCAGTCCGCTTATTGGCCAGATGTGCAGATGTGGGCAACAAAAGTAAATATGGGAATAAGGTGCTACGATCAGGATTATTGGAGAACATCGAGAATTCACATTCATTTCACCTAGTTGCTAGTCCATACTGACTTTTGCACATTTATAGTACCTTTCCACATTCCAGAATTCAAAGCATACGAGGCAAAGGGAAGTTTGTTTGTTTTTTTAGCTTAGACCTGCAGTGTGCACCTCTTAGTTGGTTCAGATCGAGGTCGGATCACGTTTACATCATAGATGATTGGTTTTTCACCAACCCCACTAAGATCCTTACTACAAAGGATCTTAGTGGGGTTGTTTTACACCTGAGTGCGATTACTGTGTTCACATCTGCACAAATGAACTGCACCATCGAGGAAAAATAAGTAGAATTCAATTTAAATGGACTAAACACAGCAGGTGTAAAGGCATCATAAGTGCTTTCTGAAAGAGGAAACAGGCGGGAACCAAAACACAGTTGAAGACAATCAATGAATCTGTGAGTGTAGAGAAAGGACGAAACACTCTTCACAAGGGAAAACTGAACTTTCAAAGTAAAGACAGGAAGTAACTAAAGAAACTAAAGAAACTAGACAGATATAAGGAAGAAAAATAGATGAGACAGAAAAGGAACAGAATGGAAACACAAAGGGGAACTACACACAATCCTAAAGTCAACAGTAACTGAAGCTAAGAACTGAAATCTGGAAAATAAACCATAGACAATGGATAAAATAGGAAATTGCCAACAACTGTGTGAAAAGAAAACTACATACTAACAATAACAGAAACCTTATCCAAAGAAACAAACACAAATCGAGTTTTAAAGGAATTGTTATAGTTTACCAATGCTTACAGAGACTGATGCCAACTGAGTTCTGAAGCCTCAAAAAGCTACAACTTGAGGCAAAAATTTGTGTCATTATCAGATAGAGTACTGGATAGAGTCTGAATCGTTCAAAAACTGCAGGATACTTAGCAGTAAAATCCTGTGGCATATAATCAGAATTTCAGTAAAAGGTCCACTGGCTTTCACCCATACCATCCTGAGCACACCCAGTCCCATCTATGGGCAAAGTCTCCTATCTGTGGTGTTATGACATGGTCTATAGCTCCTGTTTACACCATCCAGGACTGTAACATAGACAGTAGCAGCTGTAAGAGGTCTGCTTTTTGTTGTGGTGTTCTTAAACTTCAAGAGCTGTTTTCTGGTCTGAAGGGTCTGAGAGTGAGTAAGAATTAAAGTTTTAAAAAAAGAGAGGAATAAACCACCTTCTGTGTCTCTCCCTACAGATGCCTCTCAGGTCCCTGAGAACTGGCCCCAGGACGGTGAGATAAAGATCCAGGGCCTGTGTGTGCGCTACGACCCAATGCTCAAACCGGTGCTCAAACACGTAAACGCATACATCAAACCAGGCCAGAAGGTAAATACTGATTCTGTGAGAAGAATGGAATCATTCAATCATTCAGGAGTTTTCATCTGGTAGGATGGTGGAACTAGATTTCCTAAAGTTAATAAAGTCAGTTAATGCTGGTTGTGCGGAGGCAAAGCTCCCATTAAGTCTACCATCAATACAATTTTATTTTCATCAATTTTTAAGTGCCTGTCCCTTAATATAAGACAGCCCACAGGGACTTTACAGAGTTCTTCTTCACTCAGAGGTCTGACACTGGCGTACATGTCCATGTTATGCAGCATACCTTTTCTTAAGTTATGTCTGCAGGAGCAGTGAGTCACAGAGGTTTGCAAGGAACCGTGGGCCTCACTTAACACTGCAATGAAAAAGCAGTGTCATACAGACAGGAGAAAATTTTCCCAAGAGGCCCAATGGGAAGTTCAGGGGGTAGAGAATATTTACTCACAGTAATGACTGGAAGGACCGGAGCAGTTTAAAACCCCTGAATGATTCTTGGTTGGAAAGCAACTCCTTTTCATTTTCCTCAAAGTCTGTTGTTAGACTCTGAGCACCTCCTCCAAAACTCCAAAAGTGGAGAGAGTCCGTGTTACACCTATTTGAGTTGTGATTTTTTTTAGAGTCAGAAAAAGACAAAATGGGGCAATCGTGGCTCAGGGGGTTGCAAAGCTCATCTGTAACCGGAGGTTTGCCGGTTCGATCCCCCTGCTCTCTCTGTCCTGGTCGTTGTGTCCTTGGGCAAGACACTTCACCCTGCCGCCTACTGGTGTTGGCCAGAGGGGCCAGTGGTGCAATATGGCAGCCTCGCTTCTGTCAGTCTGCCCCAGGGCAGCTGTAGCTTGCCTCCACCAGTGTGTGAATGTGAGAGTGAATGAATAGTGGAATTGTAAAGCGCTTTGGGTGCCTAGAAAAGCGCTATATAAATGCAATCTATTATTATTATTATTATTAAAACATTAGTAAGCTTGGTTAGTGAACTGCATCTAGTTCATGTTGCAAACTAAGTAAATTACCACATACTTTCCTGTGCAAAGTAAAATTCTCCTGTTACTGTTTCTCAGGAATAACAGGCAAACATGCGTTGCTGTACATTGTACCCTGAGAGTTTATGTATGGAACTGGCTAACTAGCTTAGCACTCTTCCCTCTGAACTACGGCTACATGTGCCTATGAAATAAAAATCGAACTAGCCCCAAACACAGAGGTTTTAAAAACCAGAGTGCAAAAATCCGTGGGTAATATTTTGCAGTTGCTACATCCATCTTCTATACACAGTCTATGCTTGGCATGTATTTTATTCAGAGTAGACGTGCTTACGTATCCAAATGGTTGTGTTACATAAAAACGCACCTCCAGTACAGTAGGATACCTATAAGGACATAATTAAATGTGCTTTGGAGTGCTTAGTAATTCAGACCTGTGTAGCCTCGCTGATCCTTTCCTAAGGTGAACTTTGTTTTAAAGTGTGGAGTGTGATGTTGCTGGAGCTTTCTTTGAACTCACAGCCACATGCCTCTAATAAACTGTAAAATGACACTTGGTCACCAAGCTCCATCCACGCACAGCATGTAGCTGCTACCCTGTTATCACACAGGTGTCTGATGTCTCACAGCAGCATCAAGCGTAGTGAAGCTTATTGGTTTTTCTCTCCTCAGGTGGGGATCTGTGGCCGCACAGGCAGCGGGAAGTCTTCTCTGTCGTTGGCTTTTTTCAACATGGTGGATATTTTTGAGGGTGAGTCTCCTGTCATGCTGTTAGCTCTCCTCACAAGGAGAGAGCACGTTGTTTTTTTCCACTTCTTTCATCTTCAAGCTTTTTTTCCTGTCCCTGGAGCCTCCCTGTTTTTCTCTGGTTCGGTATGTTTATGTCTCATTAAGATAATCGTGTTCTGTTTGGAAACTTTGCGGAAAGATTTCCCTCGGGGTTGTTTCTGTGAGTAGCTCTTGACCCAAGGTTCTACTTGACCCAAAAGGCAAAAACAATCACGCTGTTATGGTCCCCGTTTTTGGTTTCCAGTTTCCTCTGAGTCACTTACAAAATAAAAAAACTTGCCCTTCAAAAGATGTTCCTGACAGGAGGATTTACAGATTTTCAAGAGTAAAATTAAACTATTATGTGAGATTTAATTACTTTTTCGTGAGGTTTTGAGTGGATTCATGATTTCCACATCCCCTTCTGCCCTTCTTTCTTTATTTCTTTTTCTTCTTTGGTTGATGGAAAGCTGTTGTGAGACTGTTTATAAAAGATGGATTTAGTCTCAGAAAAGAAGCTGTTGCCTCTGAATCTTGCAGTCTTCCTAATGGCCAGCAGGGGCAGCTTCGGTGATTGCATAAAAGAGATTTTGCTCCCAGCTGCTCAGTTTTTTATGTTTATTTTGTACACTGTGGTCCCACTTAGAATAAATAATGCAACACTTACTTTAGGATGCAGAAGTGTGGAGTATCTTTTATTTCTCGCTAGAATTGATCTAGATCTTGTTGTCTTTGAAGATGAAGATCAGGTCTGTAACCACTCGTCAGACTGAGTCAGACTGAGTCAGACTGATTTCAAATTGGCACTTTCATGGAGTTTCTTTGTCAGAATAAATCGACTTTTAGAAATGAGGGAAAATCTGTTGCTGTCTATGTAAACAGAAAGTCACATTCACTACTTAGATTGGGGGCAGGGATAGCTCAGTAGGTAAAGTGGTCACCCCATGATCGGAAGGTCGGCGGTTCGAATCCACTTAACGGTTACCCTGAGGTACCCCTGAGCAAGGTACCGTCCCTATACACTGCTCCCCGGGCGCCTGCTTAGTGGGCTGCCCACTGCTTCACTGAGTGAATGGGTCAAATGCAGAGAAAAACAAGTAATTTCCCCATGGGGATCAATAAAGTATCTATTATTATTATTATTATTATTATTAGATTCAGGCTCCAGTCAGAACCTCATAGATCTGAAACAGAACTTCTTCCACAGATAGTGATGTCACTGCTGCCTCTCCAGCTTTGCTTCTTATATGGGAAAATATCCAGAATACAGCCAGCTGGTAAGCAGATGAGTGGAGAACCCTGCTGCAAAGAGATGTATTGCTCCGTGTCTGAGATTGATTCTAACATGTTGGTAATCAGTCTTTGAAGCTACACTTTACACAATTTGTGCAAAAACTGGACAACACAAGATTGGAACAAAGTTGTCTGCTGTGACATTCAGATGATAGGATCAAAATTGGTGTAAATGGCATGAAAGTGTGGCTCTGTCTTGTCCTGTATTGATGGTTTAGGCTGCTGGTGGTGTAATGGTGTGGGGGTTTTTTAGTACCAAGTGAATGGCATTTAAACACCACAGCCCACCTGAGTATTGTTGCTGCTTCAGTAGGATAATGCCCCAGGTCACAAAGCTGAAATCAGTTGTACTCTAATGGCCTTCACAGTGACCAGATCTCAGTCCAGTAGCCACCTCTGGGATGTGGAGAAACAGGAGATTCACATTATGGATGAGCAGCTGATAAATCTGTAGCAGCTCTGAGGAATGCAGCACCTGGTTGAATTTGTGCCACGAGAAATTAAGGCAGTTCTGAGAACACAATGGGCTCCAAGCTGATACTAACAATGTCCTGAATATCACAGGTAGGATCGGGGACCAAGGGAAACCCTGGTGAATACCAGCACCAATACCAGATACCAAAAAGCATTCTTGACTTTGTGTGGGAGAGAGGAAGGAGACATGATTTTGGTTATATGACCTGATGGCTCGTAACAACACTGTGGTACACAGTACTGCAGGAGTATACCAGACACATGTAGACTAGACTGTCAAACTTCATGACTGCTCCAGAAGTTTCCTGACAGTAAAGAGCTGTTCCACTGTTCCACAACTAGAACCGAAGCTGGATTGCTCCTCCTGAATCTGAGATGCTTGTTATGTGGATTCAAGCTGTCCATGATATTTATAGACCCAAATACGACTTGAACAAGCTTACAGTTTTTCTCGATTGCTAAAACACATTTCTTGAAACTACGCCTCATATCCTCACAACAGTAAACACAAATCCATAACATCTCACTCAATTTCCCAAACATCCTATTTCCAGGTCAAAATGAAGCTCTACACCCAAAACTATTCACTCCTGCTGAAAAACCAAACTTTGCCCTCAGACATCAAACACAAGCCCTCAAAAACACACACACTACAACAGAGTTTTGCACACTGGTACAATTAATTCAAAACAATAGTTCCAAAACAAATAGGTTGCTTATGGTTCTCCCCTTCAAAACCCTTGTCACATGATAAACACAAAAGACGCAACCAATGTATGTACAGTGGCACATTGTCATTCATGTACTATACAGTACAACACACACCAGAAACATTATCCCACCTCAGCATCTTGTCTTTGGTCTGGGTCAGGCCAGAGAATCTCATCCACATCACAGGCTATATTGGCCCCAGCCAGGCAGTGGGGGTAAAATCCTCTTGCGTGCCTGATCCACCCCTGGCATGCATCTACTGATATGTCTAGGCAGGCCTCTTCCATGGCCTGAAGGAGGTGAACACGGACATAAGGTTCTCGGTCATACACTTTCCACCGCCATGCCGAAAATAACTCCTCTATCGGGTTTAGAAAGGGAGAGTATGCAGGCAGAAAGATATTAGAAAACCTTGGGTTATTGGTAAACCAGTCACGAACCAGAGCAGCGCGATGGAAGCTGACGTTATCCCACACAACAACGTAGTGAGGCTGCTCTGGCTGTGCTGGTTCCCTGTAGTCCAGCTGGAACATATGTTGTCTTAAACCATCAAGAAAAGCAAGGAGAAGCATAGTGTTATAGGGTCCTAGTACGCCATGGCGGTGGAGTACCCCTTGTTGGCTGATGGCTGCGCACATAGTGACATTCCCCCCACGCTGACCAGGGACATTTACAATAGCCCGATGGCCAATTATGTTCCTCCCCCTTTTCCTTCTTTTGGTCAGGTTAAAACCTGCCTCATCCACAAAGATTATTTCATGGGGAACAGGCCGTCCTTCAATCTCAAAGATTCTCTGCAGAACACATAACACAGTAGAGTCAATCGGTACCCTGAACCACAGTTCAAGAGTGCTGAAATGGCAGCATAAACTGCCATGCTGTGATGGTACACAATACTTTATACAGTATCAAAACTCATACCTGAACATATTCCACACGTTGGTTTTTCACTCTGTCAGAGTTTCGTTCGAAAGGGGCTCGGTATGCCTGTTTCATCCGGAATTGATTCTTTCGGAGGATGCGGCCAATTGTGGAGAGGCTGATGGCATTTATACCTCGAAAAAGATGATCATCCTCAATCACTCTCCTTTGAATCTCTTGCAGGCGGATTACATTATTTGCAATTACCATGTTTACAAGTTCCCTCTCTTGCTCCTCCGACAAAAGCCTTAACCTGCCTCCACCAGGTGGTCGTCTCTGTGTCCTACAAAAATAGAAGCACTCATTACTGTAACTGTCACACATTCATTTTACAGGCAAATAATGGAAACATACTCAAGAAACATAAGTTCAGTAACTTAAACGTTACTGTACAAAGCAGTCTTACTGCAAGTACACCTACCTGTTTTCCTCCCTGAAGGTTCTGATGATGGCGGCAACAGTGAAGCGACTCAAATTTGGTTGTACTCGTTGCCCAGCCTCCCTCATAGTCATCCCATGGACAAGGACATGGTCAACTAAAGTGGCTCGAATTTCATCCGAGACTGACTGTCTTCTTGCCCTTGCTCTTCCCCTTCCTTGTCGCCGTCGTTCTCCACCTCCACCTCCTTCACCGCGTCCTCCTCCTCTTCCACCACGTCCTCCTCCTTCACCACGTCCTCCTCCTTCACCACGTCCTCTTCCTTTGCATCTCTTTGGATCCATTGTTTCAAACCTGAATGAGCTGACTTTGGCCCTTTTATCTATCCATCGCAGGTTCTGATTGGTGTGTGCTAAATTTTGACTCCTAGTGTTTCCACCTGGTTAATTGTGTGCTAATTGAGCTCAAGCTATGCTGACTTAAGTTAACATTATTGCATGCTAGTGCTTTCTAAATGACTACATGGTGTAAGCACTGTAAAATGTAGGGATTTGTGTGTAGAGTTTTGCAGTAACAGTTCACCAAATTTGAGTCATGTGTCAAAGCAGGGAATAGTGTTTATAGTTCAGGGAAATGGGTGAGCTTTTTGAACAGTAGCGTTACGGTTTTGAAATTTTAATTTAGAGGCCTGGTTATAGTGTTTAAGCAATCGAGAAAAACTGTAATAGAGTTACTTTTATAAATTCAATATGCTATAAATGATCTGTCAGAGTGAGCAGTAATAAAAGTATTTAAGGTGACTGAGTCCCAGAGACAAAATGACGATAGATATTGCAGTGTGTTTTGTTAGAACTAAAGCACTTCTTATTGTAAATTATTCCTTTAAAAGGTGTTCAGTCATCAGCCACTACTGCAGTACTATGTATATGTTGGAGGAAATATTTATTCAGCTCTTTTTAAACACTCGTGCGAGTCCTGCTAAGTGCAAATCTGAAGGCCTTTTTGTTCTTCGCATGCCTTGTTTTAAGAGAACCTGAAGTAGACTCTTGTATCAAAGAACTAGCATAAGGACATAACAAAAAGGCTCGACCCATTCTCCTGCACTCGTTTCCAGGCTCTAGACATGTTCCTTCAAGAGGGCAGAAATAAAGTCCTAAAGCTGTCTGTTTTAGTTATTGCATTTTGAAAGCAAGTCGTAATCGTACCACTCTGTTTTCACTCTGGCTGATGACGGCTGCTCCTAGACAGATTATTCAGACAGGGGTGAGATTACACAGTCACTTTTTCCATGCACTCACACACACAGCTGGGAAGACAGTTCATTTAACTGTAAATTTAAGACCATTGTGTCAGCAACATTTCCTTATAAAGCAGTGAAATAAAAGCAGAGCACCTTCCTGGTGATTGCTCTTCTGAGTGAGCTGTACAGAACATTCTTGATTTCATCACCCTGAAAATAAAACATTGTGTTTAGCTGAACAAAAACATTTGTCCAGGGTCGTTCATCGTGTCCACATGAAAGAGCTTTAGGAGAAAAGGTGGTTTAATTAAAGCAAACCTATACAAGTTTGTGCTGATGAGTGCAAATCCTCCGTGACACGTTTCTCTGCAATCGGGGACTCAGCTGGTTTCCATTCTGGTTATGTTCCTTTATAAAAACAAGGTTTCTGAGCACCTGTGTCATTTTGCAATTAAAATCTCCAGCTTACCACAACTACGTCACCATATGCAAAGAAATTTCCAATCTATGAGGTTCTGACCCAACTCTGGTTGTTTGTAGTTCCGTTGAATTTCTGTTTACGTCGACAGCAACAGGTTTGCAATTTTTGATGATTTATCACAGATTGCTAACTTGACTTGATTTGCTTGCACGCTGATGGGGAACTGATGGCACACTGACTGATTTATTACTGCTTTATCACCACCTTGATGCAGCAAAGTCAGTTTAAAGATGGTAACTGACTGATGGCTGCAGACCTCAACAGCCATTTCAAAGCAACAACGTTGCACATTCACTGTAAACATCCCAATCATTTTTCCGTGCTGCGGTTGTGCAGCAACGTTTTTCCATAGTGCATCTTTAACATAAAATATTGAGTAAGAGACATCACCTGGTCTACTGATTTTTAATTATGTCATTTTTGTAAGACAGAAACTACAATGTTTGAGCCGATGGGTAAACATGAGTTATTAACTATTAGTTGATTAGCAAAATGCATCTATGTTTCACTGTGGCATAAAACGAGGTGCCAACTCTGGCTGTGAACTGATGCTTAACAGTTAGTTTATACTGGCTGATGTCATCCTCCTGGTGAGAGGCCCATGGGAAAAGTGACATCACACCTGCTGGTGTGATGTCACCAAGCTTTGGTGATTTGTCTTATAATGCAGCCGTGAGATTTCCAGATTAAACAGAAGGAAAAGCAGCTTGAACTCTATTCCTGCAGCTGATGCAGAATGGGTGTTTTTTGGTAGTATTCAGGAGAAGGTCGCAGTGAGAACAGGACGCCTCAAGTGCCACTATAAATGAACTTCATGAGCTGTAGATATAGAAAGTTCAGAAGAAAGCTGTACTGGATAATTTAACTGTTATTTTTCTGTTATGAGAGGAGTGTTGGTGGCTGTAAAACTACCTGGAATGTGAACACAGTGTTTTGCTTATTTGCAGGAAAGATCATCATAGATGGGATTGACATCTGTAAGCTTCCTCTACAGACTCTCAGGTCTCGACTTTCGATCATCCTCCAGGACCCTGTCTTATTTAGTGGATCAATAAGGTAAACACTCGTGATTAACATGCCTACAGAGAACTTGACTATATTCTTTTTTAAAAAGTCTTTTTGAAGACTTATTATGTAAAGCCTTAGGATCTGGTTCCTCGCCATGTTTTCCTTCCCAGAGATTGCTGTTTATAATTTTATTCTTGTGTTACCAATCAGAACTATAATTTGTGCTCTCTGTGGTCCGTACTTCCAAATCGGTTACCTAAAAGGTAAAGAGAGGTAACAGCAAAGGTTAACATCAACAAAATCTGAATAAGATTTGTTTACAGAGCTTTAATTCAAATCTCCAAGATTTGAACCAGTAGTTATCTGCTAAAGGAGAACAGAAACTTTGACTGTTGTTTGGTTCTCTAAAAAGTTTCTTATATACACAAAAAATGTTGCGATGCACATCAGAAATGGTTTATCACAAGGACTAATCACCCAAACAGAAACTCGACAAACCAAATGCAGAAACCAAACCAACACTCCACAAATGCACGGCACAATTTAGGAGAGCCAACCCCACTGGGACGAGACTAAGCTGTGCACCTGCATGTAAAAGATAAATTGTCACTCTTTTGAGGCTGCCAGCACTCACATATTGGACAGACTAGACAGATGGTGTCAGAGACAAGTAAAGGAGGCCATCTATGTCCACTGCGAACATCTGTTGTTGAACAGCAGCAGCAACACTAGTCTTGAGATCTCTTCCCAGGTAATCCAACCCCACCTGCTCCTTGACATCAATAGCACACATGTGATGAACCACATGATTAATAGTGAGTGTATGACCTTCAGGACCACCTCCAATGTGGCATCTGGGGATAAATATCTGGGAATCTGTCAGCCGATTTAGAGCTGTGCAAACCTCTTGGCAGCCACAAAAGTCGCCCCCTTGTGGCCATAAAAAATAATCCAGATTTAAGAAGAAGAAAGTGTGTACATTATTGTACTTTATTGAGCCCCGTGGGGAAATTGCTCTCTGCATTTAACCCATTCACTCAGTGAAGCAGTGGGCAGCCATTGGGCGCCCGGGGAGCAGTGTGTAGGGACGGTACCTTGCTCAGGGGTACCTCAGGGTAGCTGTTAAGGGGAATCGAACCCCCGACCTTCCGATCATGGGGCAACCACTCTACCTACTGAGCTATCCCTGCCCCCTTTTTTTTTTTTTTTTTTTTTTTTTAGACATTTTCATGTTGGCTTCGCTTTTTAGTCTTGGATGTTAAGGTTCACACTCAGGACTCAAGCACATGACACAGTCAAAGGGTTAAAAACTAAACAGTCTTCAGCTAAATCCAGCTGTGATTAATTCCATCTGGAATATAAGGAACTTCAGGTAAGTAATCCTGTTTTTTTAGGGCAGGGATTCGAACTGTTTGTCTCTCGAAATTAACACCTCTCCTCTTCAGTTTTCAAAGAACAAAACATGAATACACTTAATTGGGTGGGCTTGGTGGGGGTCTGACTTGCCTTTCAGGTGTCTGGCTTCTAGCTCAGAGAGAAGATCAAACAGTGAGTATGAGCAAAGTAGTCACGATCAGCTTGGTATTTCAAACAGCCTCAGCAATTCTAACTGTACTGGGGGAGAACAGTCAGGCATCACCCAAGGCTCGAGACCCAGCTTAAATATGACGTTGATTGGTGATGAGTAGCAGGTGTGCCAGGCCAGGACTTCTAGAAGCCACACCCACCACTTCATTTCATACACTAGCAGAGAGGCAGGTCCACACCTAGACTACACGGGGACCATGATGGTCCATTGTTTGTACTCGCTGTAGTCTTTTGTGTTTTTTTTGTGGGTTTGTGGTTAATACTTGCTTGTTCCTATAAACCTGTTAATGTGGGGGCATTTAGATGAATAATTTTGGGAAACGTTAGATATGATCAAAAAGTTTCCTCAATCAGCCCATAAAAGAAAAATACCAGATTCAAATCTTTAAATTTCTTGTCTACGTCCAAATGGCTTCCTGCAAATTTGTTCCTAGGAGTCCAGTTATGACCAGGTGAGCCGTGTGCTCTGCTGTTTACCGCAGATCGGACCGTGTGACTGCTGGCTATCGCCCTGCAGTTTAAAAAACCAGAACGCTTGACATCACAGTAAAGTCAACTGGAACATCCAGAGTTTGAGGGAGAACCTTTACTGGAAACAACCGAACCGTGGTGCACTCCATTGTGCTGTCATGAATTTGTGTTTTTTCCACACAACCTTGGCTCAGCACCTGCTCCACTCACCAGATATACCTCTGTGCACATGCCTCCACTTGCCCAGGATGAAATTAAGTCAGGCTGTTTTGACACACTAGATTTGATCCAGCATGCACGGCAGATGCACAAGAGCAAGTGCATATCGCGTCTGGTATGTTTGTCCAACTCTTAGAAACTGTGATGATGAAAATTGATACCAGAAACAGTGGAAGGAGTTTGTCTGGCTTGAAATTACAGTTGAAAAACTAAAAAAAAATCTACACAGACGGTTTAGGGGGTGTCCTGTTCTCATCTGATGCAGAAACACTGATGTTTGCCACAAACGTTAGTGGACCAGAATCTAAACATGCCATCAGAGCACTGGCTCTTTTAAGCCTCCATAGCTGAGTGTCACGCTGCTTGATTAACCACGCTCAGATTTGGAAAACCCGGACTTGCCTCATTGTGAGCTCTTAACCAGAAAGAGAGAAAAAAAACCCTCTTTGCCAAATCGTAGTCTGAGTTCTGTCCCGAAAGATGTTTGTCACATGACGACACAAAGTCCCAGCTGTGGGGTTAGCGGTTGAGAACGCAGTGGGAAGTCTGGCCGGGACCTAATCTGACTTTTGTCACAGACGTCACGTACCGAGGAGGTTGCTGGAGAGATGAAGGACTCAGCGCCGTTTTGTGCGTACACACTCGCAGCCTCTGTGTGTTTGTGTTACCAGATGATAAAGTTACTCTGTTTGTTATAAAAGACAAAGTGCATGTGCTGTTTGTTTGGACAGATATGCTGCTCCAGATAATTGTATGTGAAAGTGGGAGACGGTGAGTGTGTGTCTGTGTTTTGGCATTTTCAGCAGCTCTTGTTTATGTGAACGTAAGCCTGAGGTGAATGGTCGGCAGTGACTGCTTCACACTGTTATCATAGATGCTCTCACACAGTTCGGCTCTCACACACACACACACACACACACACACACACACACACACACACACACACACACACACACACACACACAGAAGTAGTAATGAATGCATTATTTATAATTATTTGAAATGCCACAGTTTTAAAACAAACATGGAATTAATTGTTATATTAACCCTTTAACCTTCTTAAATGCAAACAGGACCTATTCTGTTTATCTACACGCCCCTTATTTTTGATCTTGGACTCTACTAGATTCACATTTTCAAATAATAATCTTCTATTGGCTGTTCACAGCCTCTCAGTTCATTTCCGGTCTGAAATGAGTGATTTTAGTTCCTATGTTCCTCAGTTTACCCCAGTAACTTTTTTTTATTGGCTGCCCCTCTTAAGCAGAAGGTTTAACCAGGAGGTGGGCGTGGCTTCCATGTCCAAGATGACCATGTTAGGGATGTCAGCTCTCTAAAACAGCATACAGAGACAAGAGTAAAAACAGATGCCTGAAATTGAGTTTTGGCCCACAGGGATTGCTTGTACATGTGCCGATGTCATTATTTAAATCTATGTTTATGAGCATTAAGCTCATAAACATAGATTTAAGTATAAACACCTCACAAAACAAGGATAAACAGAACAGCTTTCTTTTTAATTATTTCTTTTTTACCATTTTCTCCTTCTCTCCTCGTCTCTCCTTATTTAACATTAGAACTCAGTGCCTTTTACTTCTATTTATCTTAACAATGATCATTTAAAACCGCTTTGTTTGCTTTCTTTTTCCTGTTTGGCCCGAACTTCCAAACTTGCAGCCCACTCTGCAAAAACCTGTTGAAGACATGCGCCTGACAATTCAACTTGTGTCAACAGTGTCAACTTGACTTATGATTTATGTGGCTGTCAATTGAATGTATAAAAATATGAAGATGTTTTTGAATTTTTTTAAACAAGCAGTATGAAGAGTAGACGAGTACTAACCTTCACTTTAGAGCCAAATTTAACTCAGTTTTCAGCTTGATTGCTGTACCAGTTAAACATTTTTTGGTGTTATAATCAACAGAAAACTGCTCATTATGCTATTGCTGAATGGCTGACATTAGATTTACTCCAAGTAATGAGCAGCCTGAAAAAAAAATCCTTTTTTACTTTTCACTTTTCAGCCAGATTTAGACATAAAAGGATGACTTCTTTTGTGGTCTTTTGACAACACTGATGTCATCCAAGGACGTCTTTTGCTTGTTTGGCATATTTAACTAAGTGGGTCTTAAGTTAAATTTCCATTTTCCATCTATCTAGAAAAGGTCAGTAATATTTTTGCTTCGTCCTGTTTAGATAATTGGAATATTTTGTGCTCAGAGTGCAGCCAAGAAATGATCCATCAGCTGTAGCGTCCACCAAATGCACATTTTGTTCATCACATTTTAAAATGCACACACATGTGATCTGTCTACTGCAAGACTAAAAGATCATTTGAGAGTTATATGGAACATTATGGCAGCTTGTGCATCCGTATATTCATGCAAGATGTTAAAATGCGGAAGGTGAAGCTGAATGTACATAACAAATTGTGTTTCTGAAGGTCTTCCAAAGCTTTTCTTTAGCCATTGGCTGCTTTTTTACTCATTTTGAATCCAGTCCTTGTACCTGATCATTTTCAGAGAAACATTTTGGGGTTTTTTGGACTGAACAATTAGTCATTGAAACATAAAAGACACCTAACTGAAGGGATGAACCAGTGTTGTGTCTACACATACAGTACCAGACAACTTAGCAAAGAACCAATTTACATTTATGTTTAGGCACTTTGTTACTAACAGCCTGTCACTAAAACACATCGCGTGGGCCATTTCTTTAGTTGAATCTATAAAATATTTTTATAGATATTTTTCTCATCTTGGCATGGTGTGCTATGTGTCTTTCAAACATTTGGGGACAGAAGAAGAACTAGAAGGTCAAGCAGCAGATGAGCAGTTTCTGAAAGGATTATCTGTAAGAAACACGACTACAGGTCAGTGGTGTTGGGAGCATCTGATTGGCAAGAGCTTTATTTTTTCAGTGTGACAGCGATCCCAAACACACTCTTAATGCAGTAAAATAATACCTGGATAGAAAAACACACAGTGGAACACTATCAGTCATGGATCGGCCTTCCCAGATCCCCAAGCAGTGTGGGATCATCCTGACAGAGAACAGAACAGAAGGCAGAAACATCCAAAGAAGAGGATGATGTTGGATGTAATTTGGGCAAAAGACTGACTGGACCGAGGCTGAATTCTTTGGATCAGTTTCTGCCAGTTGTCCTCACTATGAAATAAGATTAAATATAATTCATTTAAACAAAACAGGGATTAGGCAAAGCTTAGGCCAGCAAGCAAGCCATTCATGCTCCCGAATGTTTCTTCTTCATTTTCTTCTTTTCATGACATTAGACTCTCTATAGAAATGGCAGCAAAAGTGCATAACGTGCAAGTGTTGTGCTGATCAGTCATTCGATGTGTTTTTGGCATTTTTATTCATTTAAAGGACTCACTTTCCTTCCTGGCTGCCCAAGACTAAAAAGACAGTAAAAGTTGCTGAAACAGTTCACATTCGTGATTTGTGATGTCTTTGTTGGTCTTGGGTCCATCACTGTCTTTATCAGCCTCTGCAGGTGGTGTATTAAATCTATGGTCAGTCCATGAGAGGTAGAAATATGCTTTTTTTGTGTTAATGATGTTTACTTGTTGCAGGTTTAATCTTGATCCGGAGAAGATGTGCACTGACGATCGACTGTGGGAGGCCCTAGAGATCGCACAGCTTAAGAACATGGTGAAAGCTTTGCCTGGAGGACTAGGTGCGCAAACTTAACTCGAGAAAGAATGCAGCTTATTGCACCAACAGTCGGTTTTGAAGTAGAGTACTTGATCGATGTGTTTGTGTTTAGACGCTGTCGTGACAGAAGGAGGAGAGAACTTCAGCGTTGGGCAGCGGCAGCTCTTCTGTTTGGCTAGAGCTTTCGTCAGAAAGAGCAGCATCTTCATCATGGATGAAGCCACAGCATCTATAGACATGGCTACGGTGTGTGCTTATTCATGGCATCTCGTGCAATCATGTACAGAAGCTTTTTCCTTAATAGAGATATATTTGTGGGATAGTAATTAAATGTTATCATCAGCCAGTTTCATTTTACTTATGTAACCCCAGTTGTCCCAAAAATACTAGAGAAGGAAGCAAAAAATGAACAAAGCAAGCAAAGAAAATGAACGAATGAAAGAATTTTAGTTAAAACAGGTTATTTCTAAGGCATCAGTAAAGAGAGACATGACATCATAAACAGCTTGAAATACATATAACTGGACTGGAGGTGGGTTGCAAAGCAGTTTGCATCGCGACAGCCCCATTTTAGCCTCGCTCTACTTTGGATCACGTTTACAGCAGCTCACCACTTCCTCACCTGACGATATGGTTTCTATTCTCTGTTTCGTCTTTCTGTCTTGCAGGAGAACATCTTACAGAAAGTCGTGATGACGGCGTTTGCAGACAGAACAGTCGTAACAATCGCAGTAAGTCCTTCAGTCTTTTATCCTGTTGTTGTTACTAATGAGGCAAAAAAAAAAACTGCTGAGGTCAGCTGAGGTTTGTACAGATAGATGCAGATATGTGGCTCTCTTTGCACTGAGCTCTATGTTCATCTATCATTAAATTATTTACCCCACAGATGTTTCCTTTATCTGTGCCTTTTATTAATGGCCTTTCCCACACATAAACAGTTTGTAACACATAGTTCCTTATGGATTTAGTGACTTAAATTCAGTCCTCTTGTCCGGTTCTTTTATTTATATGCTTCCCTTTTTTCTGACTTTTGTCTCTTTGTGTTGCTGTCTTATCCTGCTCTGTTTTTCTTTCCTTTCTTTTTCCATCTGCTGTCTCCTTCTACTTTTTCCCAAATCTCTCCCCCCCCCCCCCCACCTCCTTCCTTTTCTTTTTTGTTTTCTCACTTTTTCTTTTTTACTACATCTACTACATTTTCTGTTGTCCTCCTTCATCTCCCTTTGTCCTGCCACCAGCATCGTGTGTCCTCTATCTTGGATGCCGAGCAGGTGTTGGTCTTCTCCTCAGGGATCTTGGTGGAAAGTGACTCTGGTCCCAACCTGCTAGCACAGGAGGAGAGCCTCTTCAGTGTGCTAGTGAGGACTCACAAGTAGACCCGGATCAACACAGACCACTTTGGCTCAGCTGACTCTCGGTCTCTCCTGTTTTCTTCCATTTTCCTGCCTGTTTCTGTTTCTTTTCCTGGCTGAGCCACAGCTGACGTCTGACTCTGGGTCTGCTGAAGCTTTACTGCCACTGACAGCCTGGTTGGTACAAGAAAATACTGCATGCTCTTTTAAAGATATTCCTTGTGGATGCAGTGCAAATTTGACGACAGTCTTCAGTGTTGTGACATTGTTTGTCCTCCAAACTAAAAATTGAGAAGGGATTCAGTTAGAATTAAACCTGAATTTGTATTTTTAGTAGCTGACTGGTTCAGATGCTTTACATTCATCTCATTCAGCAGGTTCCTGGAAAATTGGACTGTATCAATAAAATGGGTCTTTGGACATTTCTTCCAAAAAGAATAACATCATCTCCAAAACTGTGAAGAGTCCGCATATTTTAATTTTTAAAGCAGCTGATCAGTCTATAAAATTCTTACCAAATCCTTCATTTGATCCAACAAAACTAGCTTAAAACATATTATAATTTTTTTAAAACAAAACATTTCACTTAGACTTATTATGTTTGTGTTTTGTGTCGTCCCTGTGTGTCTCCAGCACCGTGTCCACACCATCCTAACAGCTGATCTGGTCATTGTGATGAAGCGAGGCAACATCATGGAGTACGACAAACCTGAGACGCTTTTGGAGCAGGAGGACGGGATGTTTGCTTCGTTTGTCAAAGCTGACATGTAGGAACACGCGGGACCCAACGGCTGACAACCTGCTCAGTTTCTTGGGTTTTTTTGTTTTTGTATTTTTTTTTTTACCTGAATTACTTTCTTGTTGAGGTGAACAGCCCTCTGAGAGAATACCCCACTGCAGGGAAGCCAGTAACATACTGTTTCTACGAGGAGAAGCTTCCCTGTGCACTCACCAAATGGAGACAGGGTCAGCTGTCAGTCAGTGGGTTTAAGAAGTCGTACTAAAGAAGTCAGGAAGTAAAAGAAGGTGCTTTGGGTAGGCTTGCTAATCAATGAGTCCATCGGTTGGTTCATCCCGTTTTTATTTTGTTTGAATTTAAGAAAACCCAATTACACAAACCACAACATTACTAGTATTTGGACTGGAAAGTGAAATAATAAAGATATATCTTATATGTGATGAATGGCTAATGCAAACTACAAATGAATATATTTTCTCACTTGTCTCATAGAAAATCTAAAGTTATTTTTCCGACTTTCAAATTTTTCTCAAGATCTAAACAAGAAAATAAGCAATAAATATAATGCTTGTGAAGCTCACAGTATCAAAATGGGCAGCCAGGCATATCTTTCCTGTGCTCTAAGACTAAGAATAGTGAGAACACTTAATAGTTAATAAAGAACTGATAAAAAGCAAAGTTATTTCATTTCTTATTGCCAGTAAATCCCACGAATGACCAAACCTACTATAAAATATGTAATATGTATACTAAATAATGCAACCACAAATACAAAAAAGTAAGTCTTAAAAACTGCAGTTGTGGCCACTTGATGCTGGCTTCGAAAAATCTCCACAGATCCTGTGTCAAAATGTCTAAATTCACAAAAGAAATGAACATGTTGATGAAAAACGTGTATCTCAGATCGGTTGCCTGCAGTTGCTAGGTAAAATCGGCCAGAAAGAGGTGTACGGAGCTGCACTGAAAACCTCTGTGGTTGCTTTGGTCTGTATCAGATTGCTGCGGTTGCAGGTTGTGCAGCAGTGAAACTGTGAGGAATGTGATGAAGACGGTAAATGACGACTGTTCACCTTCAAAGTAAAAGTTGTTCCTTTTGAATCGTGTTGGTTTTGGCAGTAAGACACAACTTGCCAAGACAAGTCAACATTTCCAATGCAAATCTTCAATTCTATTGACAAAACAAATGAATCAGGGGCAACTTGGAGTTCAGCATCTCGCTCACTTTTGACATGCAGACTAAATGAGCCAAGAATCAAACTATCAAAGTTGGCCATATGATAGGTGTCTAGGACTATACGACCCATTTAAATTGCATATATGTTTAAAGTTAGGCAATACTAGAACTAGAACTAGACATCTCACCCATGTTTATGGCTTTGGCACCTTTTGGATCTGATGAGCAGATTTTTCTATGTTTGATTAAACTTGTGGATGCACTTTTCTAACCAAGCTAATAAGCACTAGCTGATAGCTTTTGGCTCCATAAAATGTCAAGATAATGCTAAAGCCATGACATCATTATTGTTATAACTACCATATTTATATAAAATCTCTCTGAGAGCACCGAATATGGATTACCTGCCTTAACAAATGCACTGTTACCTCTTTTTAACACATTTTTTACACCGTTTTAAATGGATTTGAAAGGTTTTTAGGTTAGAGTATTAAGACAGAGGCTTGTGTTTGTTGGTCTTTTCATGGGATTTGTAGACAGTAGGAAATACATACAGTTTATTAAATATAAATTATGGCTTTGAGATTTTATTTCAGGTGTTGAGGCTGTGAAAAGTGTAAAATGTAAAGATTTAATAGTTGGAGAGTGAACAGAAGTGTTGTTTCATATTAATAGAATTTTTACAGTCTTTAATTATCTTGTGTAAAATATTTGTTACTTTTTAGATCATGCACCACCTCTGTTTATACTGACTGGCACCTGTATTATGCAATAATAATGATGGAAGAATTTTTAAATGTATTTAAAATCCTTTTTAAAAATGACTGTTGGCTCTTTGGCCATTATTTTTCTGAATAACGCAGTGGAAGGATTTTAAATCAACCCTTTTGTATTCTACTCTACTTTTTGACCTTAAGTTCTGCCATAGAGGTAACACTGATAGAAATGACAAAGCTGATGGAATCATATGGTTTTATTAACCAGTTTAAGAATGCATTTATAATGATAAATAACACAGCTGATTGTTGTGGCCGTTCTTTGACTGAACATGTGTTGACATTTTTCACGAGATGCCAAAAATGAGACGTCACAAAATACCAACAGCAGTTTCCCAAGTGAAGGCTGGATACTCTATTTCTGGCCTACTTCTCCTTCCTCCCTGTTCTATCAGTTGTACGTCTATGCCTCCATTAGTACAAACACTGTAAGGTGTCACGGCTCGGCCTGCAGCCAGTGAACCTGCTGTCTGTCTGCGGTCATGCTTTGCTGAACTTTTTATCCTCGGGGACAATAGATACCCAGCATGCCTCCCGTTAACTCCAGAGATGCTTCATGGATGTTTGAGAGGGCAGTGATGTCTTTTCTTTTTTTTACTGAGGAAGAGCAGTAACTTGCAGTAACTTAATAATCAGTTCTAGGGGCTGAAATTTAGAGCTACATCAATCTCTATTTTGCACATTAATAATGCAACATTGGTAATAAATCGGATGAAACCAAATTAGAGCCCATAGGAGAGAGTGAATTTTAGAGAGTGAAATTTAGCATTCACAAGGTGAACATAAAGAGGAGTCCATATAGTAAAAAAAAAAGAGCTTTTGCATATGGGAACTGCTCCATCTCTTTGATGGGCTGATATCAACATGTTTTTATATATTTTTATTTTTAAATAATGAAACTTTAACACACTCACTGTTTTTATCAGACGGATTGGATTCTCCTTGGAAGTCCTAGCTAACACTTTTTGTTTTCTGTCCAATGCATTGTGTAGTAGATTTAGATTTAATGTTTTCATGGAGCTTTGTTTAAAGTGTCCATTAAACTAGGAGAGTTCATTTTCTGCTGGAAATCCTGTTAGAGGCAGACACTTTGTCTCTGCATGGAGAGTTATGAAGGCATTTTACATGCATCTTCATAACCATAAGCCACCTTTAAAAATGAAAAATGAACATTTGATATATCATTTCTTTCATCTATACAAAAAAGTTGTAATGTTGGCTAACTGAAATCCTAAAAAAGCTTATTGATGGTTTCTCGCTCGGCATGTATAATTCAACTTGTGTGGATCAGGTCTCCTGAAATTTAAACTGTAGGATGATGTTGTGAGCTGTTGTACATGTGTAAATGTTATTTTAGTCCATTGCTAGGTGGTTGCTAGGCAATGTAATGGCATCACAATATCTGACATAGATAAGAACCTTTGGGGGCCGGAGATGTACCTGTGAGCCAAGTTTGTCTGCCCGACTTCTGATGCTCTTGGAGGGTTTTGTGGACAAAGAATCAAACACACAGCAGAGATGCCAGAGTCCTTTCTTTTGCATTGAAAGAAAAATATTTGGGAGACAGTATCTCATAATTATGACTGTTATCTCCCAGATAAAAGAAAACTTCTCATCATCACAAGATAATGTACAATAATAGAAAAATGCCACAGAAACGTGCCTGACAGTGTTCACTGTGCAGTGGGACAGGAAATGGAACCGCTTCATAATGTGCTTGGGAACTGTTGTGTTTTTAATCATTTTGAGATTTAATAAGCAATTTAGTGATGGTTCTTGCTTCTGTTGGTTTCAAATAATAGAGATAGTCAAGATTCCTTATCACTGTCACTACAATGCAAGTTTTCATATATAAACAGCAGAAGTCGTCCCTTTCTGTAGTTAAAAACACACGCAACATGCATATCAATGAATGGCTATTTAATTAATAGGCAGGCTTTTTGAATAAAAATAAAAATAAAATGTCTTAAATATAAATGTTACCCAAAGGAAACCAGCTCATTGCCATCACAGTGAATCCATTTGCGCTGCCACTCCTGTGCTCTCAAACATAAAAATGACTGACCAACACTTACGGGTCTCAAATTAAGTGATAATAAATCATACTCGTGAGCCAAGGTCTCAGCTTTTGGGTGATATTTTCAGTGCACAACAATATGTAGTTACAGCTCAGCATTCAGTGCATTTCTTTGGAATATCTTTTCTAACCTTTCTGGGAGCGGTGCTATTGTCCCTTTATATTATTGTATATTCATTAGACTTAATTTGCTTTTGGACTAAAATTTGAAACTTTGTACTGTACAGTGTTGAATGCCAAACATGATTTTTCCGCCTTTTCTTGTTTAAATATCTTACATGTTTCATCTCAAGAAGTTGTCACTTAAGCTTTTGAACTTTGTGATTTCTCTCATTTTACAAGTTGTTTTAATATAACACAACGAGATGACACGTGAGGTTTACCGTCACACTTGGTGATCACAAGCTTCGCCTGCACTTTTCTTTCCCCTGACAGCTTTAACTGTAACACTGAATGTCTTTGTTGTTGTCCCTGCAGTTCTTCCAAGTCCTCGTCCGTCTCCTCTGTTAGCGATCGAGTGCTCTTCCTGTTCTTTGATCCTCGTTCAGTAGCACTTTTTATGCTCTTGGCCACCGTCACACTCATAAATCCTTTGTTTTCCTTGCTGTGCTTCCATGCTGCTCCTGTTCTGAACCTGCACACGGCTGCCTTGTAAACTCATCCTCTCACACCCCAAACCACTTTTTGTCTTCGAAGCTGACATTTTACACCAAGAGCAAAAAAGCAGTGGTGCCATTTTTCCACGTTACACTTTGCACAGGTTTTTTCACTCAAAGAATGTCTCTTTTCGAACAGGTTTCACGTGTGTTTTAGTTTCTGGGAACAAACAAGTACATAAAAACAGCGAACGGGTGGAAATGTAAGGGAACCGCATGTAACTCATTGTCGGAGCTATGCAGAGAGCTTTACTTGCTTTCATGAAGTTGACTGTTAACAGAGAGCATCGTAAATGCTGACATCGTTCTCACAGATCAGTTTGGAGATGGTCATTTTTTTCTGTATGTACATTCTGTATGTAGTAGCCTGTATAGCCAAGGGTTTAAACATATATATATATATATATATATTAAACTGCTATTATTATGTGTGCCTGATTTCTTTCTTTTTTTACACTTGTAATAACAATAAAATGCTCTTGAGTGACGTGAGGCTGTTTGTTTTTGTTGGGCTGCTTTCACGGCTGTAAACTCTTGACCTTTCCTACCTCAGGACACAGGCCAGGAGTCACGGTACCCTCAATACTAGATGTGATAAATTGCTAAATGGCGCCCCCTGATGACTGTTTCTAAAATAAATCCAAATACATGCACTAGGAAATTGCACACATTTCAGAAAATATATGAAAATGAGAGCCGTTAGGTGTTTTTTTTTTCTTTTTTGTTGTTCTTAATAAACTTTTCCTTGTTGAGCTTTTGTGTTCATTTTAAAAGACGTGTTTACAGATTGAAACACAAAACCAGTCAAACTGGACACTGGTTTTTATCAACAGCTGATGTTTGTTTTTGTTTTACCTGAGCTCAAAGAGTCATTCCTTCATGAATTATAGCGGCACAATCGAAATCTTGCCCTTACTTTACCCGACACCCACCTCTCAACCATCCTATAGCTGTATGGGGTTGTCCCATAGGAACATTTAGCTTGCCTGGAGAACACCTGTGGCTTGACAAATTTAAACTGGATAGAAAAGACGGGTAAATATAAAGGTTTTTATAGACAACTGAGTCTAGAGTGATTGGTTTCATGGATGTAGATTAGCAGGGAAAGTGCTGACTTTGTGCCCAGCTCTAACTAAAGTTCCCTGCAGGTCCGATTGTTCGGCTTCCATTAAATGAAGGTAGGGTTAGGATTACCGCCTCCAACCTGAGTAAGAGCTACAATTACAGACAAGAGTAGCTCCTCCCCTCTGTAAAATGCCAAATAATGGTCCAAATTTCACGACTTTCCTTTTCACTGTTTTCCATGTTTCTTTGATATTTACATGCATTAAATTAGCCCTTTATGCACATTCTTGATAAAGTGGGTTAAACAATGACCGAACTTAAGAGACATCTGTTTAGTGCTTAAACTGCCAAAAAAGTAAAAAAACAAAAAACCCTATAAGATAAAAAAGATTCTAGGGCCTTCCAAAGCAGGCTGTTTCGGTGGTTTTGCCCTTTCCCATTGCCTTTGAGGGGGGCCTGAAGGCAGCAGCGCTCTGATCCGAGCGGGTCTTGACTCTGGAAGTGCGTCAACAGCAGAGTGGAGACCGTCCCAGCCCTCAGAGGCTCAGAGCAGAGGCGGCGCGCTGCCTTCAGTCCGAAACATCTCCGAAAGGCGACGGAGTTATAACTGCTCGTTCGTCTTTGAGCGTTTCCCTGAGGGTGGGCATGCTGCGTCCGTGCGTAAAGACGCACTGAGGACTGTTTTCTTTGCCATCGGGAGCGGAAAGCGGACGAGAAGATGCTGGCGAGGAAAAGCATCATCCCGGAGGAGTTCGGTCTCCCGGGGCTCGTCTCCCGGATGCCCCGCAAGCCGGTGTTCAGGGACCGCGTGAACAAAGCGCGCTTTATCGCCAAAAACGGCTCGTGCAACTTGGCGCACAAGAACATCCGCGAACAGGGGAGATTCCTGCAGGACGTCTTCACCACGCTGGTGGACCTTAAATGGCGCTTCACGCTGGTCATCTTCACCACGACATTCGTCAGCAGCTGGCTGCTGTTCGCCATGAGCTGGTGGCTGGTGGCATTTGCGCACGGAGACCTGGACCCTACGCGTGAAAACATGACCGACTGCGTAAAAAATCTGAAGTAAGGAAAAGCCTGAGTGCTTTCATGTAACCTGTTCCAAGAAAACGAGGTTGTTAAAGTGTGTTTGGTGTAAATTCGTCAAGTTTTGCTCTGTCGAAATTCTTTCTGTCTCCGTCTGCACTTGATCCAAACCTCCCAGCTCCCACCCGCCTCCTCTTCTCTTCGCCAACATTCTCCATTTTTAAACTGTGGAAGAGAAAAAAGAGGGAATGAGAGAACTTCTGCTGCGTTTATTTCAGGCAAATAAAAGAGCAGAAGCAGAAAGATCGCATGTGGTGAAACGTTTTTTGGCACTTCCATGTTAGCGCATCCACCCTCACCCCCATGAATCCTTACCACAGGGAAGGAGAAGACAGAAAGGCAAATAGGAAATTTGCTTTTGCTTCTTTCTTGGAAATGATCAGAATCCATTGTCGGGAACCACTTGAGGTGGCGGTTCCATCTTCCATTGAAATACTGCTTTATTTTCACACTCCCTAAATCTCATAATCATAATCATCATAACCTTTCCACATAAATTTTTTTCTCTTCTGAATTTGCTGATGAAGCGTCTGCACTTTTATCTTATCTGAATTTCAACTGCAGGACATCGACTTGTTCACGTGCTTTTTAATATTGACGCACCAGTGATTAAAAGACCTTCATGAATATTACATCAAAAGTATTTTTGGAGGTCAGCTCTGTTTTTTTCTATGTTTGTCATCATTTCTTGCTTTACGAATTAGTCTTGTGGAAAAGTAGTTGGGGAGCAAATGTCGTGAGTAACAGGGTTTGACCAGACCTGATCTGAAGACCGCAACTCTACTTCCTGTTAACTTCTCAACATCCAACATGTATGTGAATAAATGACATCCAAGGTTAGGGTGCATTTTAGTAATATGTTTAATCAAACTGAATAAAAATTTGAATTTGAAACATGACCTTACACATCAAGTATCTCACATGCATTTTGACCGCTTGGTGGTTGTGACCCCATCCCTAACCCCGATCAGCCATGAAGACCTGGATGTTAGAGGTTAAGCCCATTGTGCATGAAATTGGTTGCGATTCAGGATGCGGAAGGCAGGGGGCGCTGTCGCAGTGCTCCTCAATGAAAAAGAGTGAACTGAGCTGAACTAAAATAATTATTTTACCTTTTTTCTGGTTTTACATTGTTTCTTTCACAGTGAAGCTCATTTCAACCATGAAGCGATAGGTCCAGCAGCACCAGAGGAATATTTCACAATAGTTTATCCCCCAGGATATCTGATTTAACTTGTCTCCCCCTCTGCAGGTCGTTCACATCAGCCTTCCTGTTCTCCATCGAGGTTCAGGTGACCATCGGCTTTGGAGAACGTGTGATAACGGAGCAGTGTCCCACTGCCATCACCGTCCTCATCCTGCAGAACATTGTGGGACTCATCATCAATGCTGTGATGTTGGGTAAGGTGCACGAAATGTTTACCTCAAACCTAAAAGGATCAGCAGAAAATCGATGGTTAAAATAATACAGAAATATCAACCTCGCTCAGTTTTTGTCACCTTGGATGCTGTTTATACTTCAGGGCTGCTTTAATTCTTCATGCACAGAGTCACAAGCTGCTGGAAACATTTCTCTGAGACTTTTGCTTCATGTTTACATGACAGCATCACACAGTGTCATGTCAAAGAAACCAGTTTAAGATTTGAACTTTGTGGCATGAAACATTTTCCTGCTGTAAGCATGGATGCGGTGTGGCTATAAAAAGATGATCATGGTCAGCAACAGTGCTCAGGTAGGCTGTGGTGGTCTGGGCTCAAAGTATACCAGAAAACTATATCTGATAAAGTGTTTTCTTTTGTTTGAGAAGCAAAGCACTTTGGATGTCTTTAAATTTAGCACCTTTGAGTTATTTTGAAGTGAAATTTCTCCTGAAAGAGACGAAAAGAAACATAAAACATTTCTGACCTGCGGGTTTAAAGCAGCCTGGCTCTACAGTGCACAATTCCGGCTTGACCCTTTGCCCTCTTTTTAATTATGTATGATTCTGACTCTCGGGTCAGATAGGTTACAGGACTCATTTTTAACTTGAAGAAAAAGGGTTCAGATGACATCTTCATTTCCGCTCAAACACTGGCAGTGAAGCCATTTTGACTCTTGGCATGTTAAAAGAACTGCGGTGCTTTGTTCCATTCTGACCTATAAGTACTGATGCGTGCATAGACGCACCTGCTCAGGTTAACCTTGCCGAGTTTTACCTCCTCAGGCTGTATCTTCATGAAGACGGCTCAGTCGAACCGTCGGGCAGAGACGCTCATCTTCAGCCGCCACGCCGTGATCGCAGTCCGGAACAACCGGCTGTGCTTCATGATTCGTATCGGGGATCTGAGGAAGAGCATGATCATTGGAGCGACCGTCAGGTTACAGGTGAGCCTCTCGTTTTAACCACCAGTAAAATCAAACTCGCTCAACATATGTTTTTGTGTTTTTCTACATGAATCTGAGACATTTTCCAGCTAATTGCTGCTCTAAAATGTCAGCTGCCACTTTTTTTTAATAGAAAATGTAAACTTTGTAAATACGCCTATATAGCTTTGCACATACTCATTTTATATACTCATAAAATGTACATAGAAATAAAGATGAAAAATCAGAAGAAACACACAAAGTAAAATAAATACAAATCATAGCTAAACAATAAAAACAAAAGAGAAAACAGCACTGCACCACAATCCAAAGATTTAAGACATATAAATGAGACCTCTCCCAAATCTTTCCCTTACCAATCACAGTGTGGGCCACGGCCCCCTAGTGGGCCTAGAACGTATTGCAAGAGATCTTTTTACAATAAATACTTTGTGTTTTTGTTCAGTTAACTGAAATAGAAATTTCAGAGTCACAGATTAAAACTTTGATGTGACTCAATCCGGTAAACTTACAGGCAAAAAAATGAAAGCGGGGTCAGAAAGGTGGGTCTTTAGTTTGGGTCTTTAGCCAAAAGATAATGCTTTTATAAAATGATCTTTGGGATCAGTTCTAATAATTCTGTTTAAAGTTTCAGTGAAATATTCACATTTTTAAAAGATACGGAGCAACTCAAACGTGGGTTTAAAAATGTCTATTATTAAATGTTATTCCTCCTTTCCTGATCTACTTTTGGTCCGTAAGTTCTTTCCAGGTAACAACAAGACAAAAGTTCAACAAATAAACCATCAGAACATCAAAATGAATTATTGAAAACACAAGAAAAACTTTTATTACATGAGTGTTTTTTTCTTATGTGATGATCAGAGTTGTTGCATCTATTACAAACTGAAGTGCGACTTTTTTTTTTATTCTTTCAATGAATAAAGAACCAACATGTGAA